TTGAAAAAAAAAAAAAGCAAAAGGCGTATGTAGAGTAGATATGATCATGATGATTTCTTTCAGGAAAAGGCGGAAAGGGCAGGAAAAGAGGTTATTAGGTTGGGAATAGACGTGCAATGTGGAAACGATTTAGAATGCCGTAATAGTTCAAAAAAGAAAGACCATCTCAAGTAATAATTTTAGCCTGTCAAACAACCTAAGCTTTTGTCTGTACAGCATGTCTTGAATACAAGTGAGTGAAACAAAATAATAACGCCACGCTATGCCCTGATATGCAAGAAAATCCTTCTCCACCTCCTTCTTCTCCCAATTTCCAACTACACTGTCCGCACTTCTTAATCAACATCGCTGTCTATGAAAATCATATCGAACAACCTGCCAGAAAGAAAAACACCATAGACCCGTCACGCGTTACTGTTTTTCGGGGGCAACGGCAACAGCCTCGGTGGCCTGCTCGTAGTACTTAGCTTTCCTTGAATTCACTTCATTTCTCTTGGGAGAGATGACCAACCCCTGTGATGTGCTGGGCGAGGATGTCCTCCTTTAGATCGGCCGCCTTCTTGTTTCCAAGAGGGGTAGGATTGGAGGCACCCTCACCATCCACATGGCCTTCTTCGCCATCTTCGTAGATTTCGTCTTCGTCATCCTCATCGTAAGCTTCCTGCAGATCGCGTGCCATAGACGCTTTCAGTTTCTCCTCATCGATGCTGCCACCCAATACACTTGATGCTTCGGCGAATTCGTCCATAGATGCACGGGAGATATAGCTGTCAGCAAGACCTTCGCCAATCTCATCCACGTCCTCGTCCATTTCGGCATCTTCTTCATCGTCATACTCCTCTTCGTCGTCACCATATTCGCTGGTGGGTCCTTCAGGACCGTTGTCGTCGTCCTCATCATCACTCTCGCTCGCCGAGAAGTCGGCCATGGCGAGAGGGTCATCTCTCCAGTACGTGAAATCCGTATACTCCTCGCCGCCACCTTTTACCAGCGTGCTTACAGGAGGGAAGTAGTGATCAACGACCTCGTTGATATTCACGTAGCTCATCTTGAGCTTGTTGAGAGTCAAGAGATCCAAAGACACTTCGGAATTGGAGTTGATGGTGAAGATGCGGTTTCTGGGCACGTCAACGGTTCGGTAAGAAATTTGATCCGTCAATCGGTTTCCATAACCAGCGTAGAATGGGGTACGGTCTGGGCCGTAAAGATTTCTGATATCTCTGAGAGTAGCCATCTTGAAAATATGTGGCTTCCGAAGATAAACTTCTCGTCTCAGAGCAGCCATCGTTCGGTCTGGCGAAAGAATAGTTGGGCCTGGAGGCATTCTGTAGCCATCTTGCACAATACCAGCCAGGTAGGCTCTTGTTGTATCAGACTGTCCGACGGATCGACTAGTAAGATACATGATGTTATAACCGTTGGCGGAAATGTCGCTGTAAAGCTTGGCAACACCGGAGTGTGTCCAGTCACGGCCGATCATGTTCAGGACATGGCCAAGAGCATCTGACTTGGTAATAGTGCCATCGATATCGGAAATGACGACGGGTGTCTCATGCCTCCAAAGATACATGTTGGCTTTGCAGGTAGCCCTGTTTACAGTGAAGGCCATCGAGTTCGCGCCAGGCTTCAGCTTCAGATCCTTGAGCTGCTGACTAGTCAGCCGCAAGGTTTTCGCATAGTTTCTGTTAGGATCGCCTGCGTGGCCTGAAGATCCTGGTGGTGTGCGAGGAGGAGTTTGCAAGTCCATCGGACCAGCATCGGACTCGGTACGTCGATGAAGGGGAATGGGCGAAGCGGTCGCATCACTGCTGTCACTTTGATATCCAGGGTCCGAAATAGCATCGGCGGCAGTGGAGCGACGATGCGACTGCAAAGAAGCCTCGATGGTCTTGTTCATGGCAGCCTGTTTCGCCTCCTCGCTGCTGTAAATCCACAGGTTTCCTTGCTCGTCGAATCCGAAGAGCGCGCCGATGTCATAATTTCCATCCAACTCTTCTGAAAGAATCTGTCGAGCCAGAATCTCAGCGCGAAGTATATCCTCTTCATTGCCCTTGAAACCGGTCATATCCAACATCAGATCACCAGTGTCGGTAACCTTGGTGGGGATGCTTGCAGCAGACAGTCCCTTAGACAAAGCTCTGGCACGCTGAAGCGCTTCTCCGGTAGATAGAGGTGGAGGACTAGAAGACCTCTCAGAAGCAACATGTTCCTCGTCGTCGGCAGAGCTATTGCCATCCAGGCCTTGGCTTCGGGCGCTCGGTCGGAGGATGTCCTCGCTGTGTGGTCGGGGTATTTTTGTTGAAGACCAGTCGCCAGACACGGGACGAGCGCTGGGTAGTTCGGGTGAGGTTGAAAGGGGTGTGATCAAGCCTGCTTTAGTATCAGCATAGGTTCTTGCAAGCTTGCCGCTTGCACGTACCATTGTCATTCCCTTTCTCATATAGAACCGAAGGGGGCGGTCGCTGAGGCCTCGCCTCGGAAGCGTCCAGCTCGAATGCTTCGGGCTCTTGCAAACCGGCAACAGACTGCTCGGCATTGAGTGGTGGACTGCTCGCAGGGCTAGAAGCGGGCGAAACAAGAGGTGATGTCTGTAGTGACTGTGGAATCCTGTCTGTGGTCTCGAAAACGAAGAAGGCCTCGCCGCCCTCACCGAGCTTCATGGAATAGCTCTGCTTAACGCCATTGACCTTGAATTCGACCTTTTTGTCCGAAGGTCGCAGGAGCGAAAACTTTCCGAATCGTACGTGGAACGGAGAGCAGACTAAAGAGCCATCTTCGTGCTCGACGACAATGACATCAATAGCACCACTAAGGGTCGCGGGGTTGATTGAATTCCATGCTGTCGACACAGACTCGCTGAGACCTCGCACGTATTGCATCTTGCCTCTCGCGGCAGAGGAGGTCGTATAGTATCTCTTGTCGATATTAATCGCAAGTTGAAGAAGTAGAGGCGGCTGTCGCGGGGAGGTTGGATGACGATCCGTAGGGACTCTGTTTAAGCTGACGAGCTTCCAAGAAGAGAAGGATGCAGTAGCAAAGAGCGAGAGCCCAGGGCCCTAGAGAAGTTTATCTGATATCAGAGAGTGGGAGTAAAACGTAGGGCAAGTGAAAGGTATGTAAGAGAAATTCTAAAATGTCTGTCTGATATTAGAAAAGAAAGCGGAATGGAATGCGGATTGTTGGGGGAGCAGGACGGTCGAGCCAGTGGATGGAGGTACCGAGTACCTGCTACCTATACTTGCTGGTTGAGCGGGCCCAGGTTCTTTTTTTCTTCTTACCCCAGTCGCCCAGTCTCTTAGATCAGGTGAAGACGTCACTATAGAGTTGGAGAAGTTTTAGTAGGCTGGAAAAAAAAGAAAAAAGATTCTTTCAGACAAGAACAAAGGATGTTTGGTGACAATGTAAACGTGCGAAACAAAAATGCGATGCTGAGGCGACTATGAAGAGTGGTGACACAGCATAGAAACAAAGAATCCCATAAGCTCTAACATCGGGCTACCTAAGAATGACGAAGCCATTGTTACAGAAGACCCTATGGATACAGTACCTGTACCTGTACAGACGTTGAGGGGCGTTCCACCCAACATGCCCTGCCGTAGTACCCGGTACAAAGACACTACCCCAGCTCGCAGGGGTCTAGACATCCGCCAGAATCATGATGGATGCCCCAGCAGAATCTATCACATGAACGGCTCATGCGGCCAAGTTTGCCGAGTTGAGACTTTGAATCATTCGGTTCTTTAGGTAGTTCTTGGTCTATAAACCTGATTGATGGTTAGATGGAAGTTTCTATAGTTGAACGCGTCACTAGAAGGGGTTGGTTCTACTGTAGGACTATGTATTCTTAGGCTGTTAGTTGCTGATAATTGGACAATATTCGATAGGCTGCAGAGTTACCGGGATATTTTTGATGGATTTGTTCAACAATTGATATGCATATGTAGCCAGTACTACTGTCTAGTCTACTATGTATATTCACCTACCCATGCTCATCCTGAGTAAATCCATGCTTGGTACAAAGAATCTGACCGCACATGACTGCCAGTCATTTATATCTCGGCACCTTTGCTCCGTCGAGTCACACTTGGCTGTAGTCATCGTCTGCCAGATAAGCGATCTCGTTGTTGGTTATACGATCTCAATTGGAGAGAACCTCGAAGACTCTTTTGGGTCATTATTTTCTCACTTTTCTATCATATGCTGATACTAACTTACACAACTTGACCGCTCGGGATCAGCCGAGGTTGTTGACAGGACCCATAGACAGGGGAAGGATTATGGTTATTCTATATTTGACCCTCTGGTTAATTAAGGGGAAGGGAATAATCAAAATTTCGTAGTAATCGGACCCTTCTTGATAATAAACATATGCATACAGAATACGGATACTCATAGGTAGTTAGAATAGTGGCTGAAGTTTCATTGTCAACCACCCAGCATTTAAGTTACTTACCCTATTCAGATGCTCAATCATGCAGTAAAGAGCATTGAAACACAACATAACCTTCTAATCATGCTTCTCGCTAGGAGTTCGCATGGGAATAAGACCTGCATACCATCTTGTGTTTTTATCCCTATGTGATGCAGTAGGTCTCGAATGCCAGTAATCACTCCATGAGAATCAGTGGAGATTGGTGACCTGCATAAAGAATGAGCCGCGGCTCAACACATGCTTCAGAACAAAAGCCTCCGATAGCTTCCAAGTATTCAGTACAGTCCTCTTTCCTTTCCCATTTTGATTTCATCTTCGGCCACAATCCTTAATGCTCGTAATTTTCGCACTCGCTTCTCAACTGCAAGTTGTCAGCCAAGAACACTGCATATGATAATCGATATATCTTTGTCTTGGCGATATTGATGTCATTGATTGACCAAGCTCGTCTTCGTAACCTAAAAGCTACTAACGCTCAGCACAGTGGACTACAAGTTTCTTGAATCGAGGCAGCTTAAGAGTAGGATGACACGGATACCTAGTCAAACAAGATCTGAGGAGAGTGTGAAACCAATTGACGTTCAACTTATGTAAAATACTCGGTGCAGACGAATTCACATGCTTGCTTCCGTTAGAGATGCCTAGAGTCGATATCGGTCCGTTGAATTTGAACAGGGGTGACAACCAAATTGGACAAACCCTTCTGCCTTCGGAGAAGGCTCCATGAGGTCTGGAAAGCTCGGGCACTAGACACCAACTGAGGAAAAACCCTGAAAGCTGAATTTGAGGCGATCTCCGGCACTTGCTGTTAAGGCTGTCGAGCTGGTCGTTGGTGTCACCAGCTTGAAGCTGAACTGGGGTATCATGTCCAGATACTCAGTTTCTCAACTTGGGTTTTATCTTTGTCCTCTGAATCTCGCCGCCTTTGAGTGCGGATGTGCAACACTCGATATCGATTCTGATCCAATGAATTATTCATGGCAAGTCTTGTGTGCGTGTTGATATGTCCCAAGCTTGTGGAATTCGCCTATCGGCCATCTCGACGCCTTCACGCGTTTATCTGCGAGATGAGAAACGGCAGAAACCTTATTTGCGCCCAATGAAGTTGCCGTCCAGATGGTACTGTACAGTACGCAAAGAGCCGTTGAAAAAGTCAGCCATATTGCGTCTTCTGTCTTGATGAGTGGACGTTCTGCCGCAAGCATCATTAGTGACGTTTTGCGGTAGCGATTCGCTACGCTAGCGATGAGGCTTGATCGCGAACACATTCCAATTGCTGTTAGGAAAGCTTTTGTAAACATTAACTGCTACCAAACCAGTCATCGTCCTAGACGCGGCATCCATCGTAAAGACATCATCCATAGGTAGACCTGCCTGTGGACCTTAAAACGATCGTAATGAGGAAACAGGCGGCAGCAAACGGTTATCAAATACAGTGCATAGAAAACAGTGATACCCGTCATTTTGTTCATATTAGATGGCCCAAGAGCGTAACATGGCGTGTGAACTGCAAATTGTTAGTCGCTTGGCTGGCCACGCGACAGGTGAAAGCACGGTGTATCATTCATGGCAGCACTGTAATCTCCGCAGAAACAGCAGCCCTGTGGCTGAGAATTTGCACGCTGCAACCAAATCTCCACTGGACCCGAAAGGGACCCCGAGCCGATGACCACGCTGGTCTCTCTTTCCTCTCTCCAATGATCAGACTAGACTCGCTCCGACCCAAACCAAACCAAGCAGCCCATGCCCATGCCCGCCTATTTTTCACCCACTGCTGGCATCGGCATCTGCCTCGAGGATCCATTTCCCACACGACAACCTGGACTTGGACTTGGACGTGAACTTGGATCTGGATTTGGACGATTCTTGGACGCTTGGCTCGGTCTTCAACATCTTCAAGACTGAGATCGCGCTGAGCTGAGAACATGTCATGGGAGTTACCCGTCTTGACTACTCTCATCCTCAGTGTACTTGGCTTCTGGTGGATTTATAGCCCTCGCGCCAGCTACCAGAAGGCCTTGCTCTACGCATTCCTCTGCAGTCTTACCGTCCTTGTCGATACTCGTCGCCTGATCGAATACTTTTCTCCCGCCACGATCGAAGCATTGCTTGATTTCCGCATCCATGTTCTTCTGATCCATCATTTCAAGATGGTCTTGACACTTGGTGCTGTCGTTTGGTGAGTTTGCCCCTCTTGTCAAATTCGACAACCCGACCCCTCTGTTTTGCATCACGCTGACCATTGGCCCCCTTTGCTTCAGGCTACTGCATCGCTCGTGGCAGACATTATGGAAACCCGTTCCCGACCTAATCAACATTCTCGGCGTCGACGTGCCCGAACCTCCTGATGTATCTCTTGCTGGCATCCGATCCGATGCTGCTACCCTGAGCTGGACTCGCCCTACCAGTAATCGGCCGGTGCAAAAATATACTATCCAAGTGAATGGCGTTCATGGTTGGTCTTACTGTCGAGATATACATCGAACTCGAATAGGGTGAAATTCCAGAACTTAACTAATACGGTTGGCATATAGTTGGTGATTCACCTGGAAATGAAGTCGCAATTACTGTGACAGGCTTGAAGCCAGATCATTTTTACAATATCAGGGTTGTTGCTGTCGGCCCGAACAACTTCCAGGCTGGAAGCAAGGTCCTACGCCTTCGAACTTTTGGAAAAGATGGTAGACCTCAGCTGGGTAACTCACGCTTGCCTACCAGTTTTGCAAACAACGACCATCCCCACCCCAAGATTGGCGACGAAGATGACGAATCCGATTCGCAAAAGAAGTCTCCGGTACCAACCGTCGAGGCGGCCCCTGTGCTGGATGGTAACAACGCGTCTACGTCTGATGTGAGCGCCACTGCTCCGAGCCAGCGACGAAATACGGTCAACCGACGACACTCACCGTCCGTTGCTAGCATGGATCAACCTCAGATCAAACTTCCACCTGTGGACGGTCCAGAACTGTCACTCGACGAACTGAACCGACGATTCGAGTCCACCAGGAAAGAAGTTGACGAAATCCTTGCCCAGTATGCCAAAGAAGAAGCCGAACTCCAACAGCAGGAAGAAGAGCTTAAACAGGAGAAGGAAGCCAAGAGACAGGCTTTGAAGGAGAAAGAGGAGCAGACTGCGCAGCTGAAGGCGAGTGTTAGGACCACTATGGAGCAGATGCGTGCTGCGGAGAAAGAGCGAACGAAGAAGGAGCAGCAGCTAAAGGACAAGGAAAATAAGAAGTCCAAAGTCCGTGATACTGCTTCTAAGCTCGAGAATGACATTGAGAGGATGAAGAAGGAGCGAGATGGCTTCGAGGCTCAGAAGAAGGAGCTGAAAGAAAAGAGAGACAATGACGGCCAGGAACTTGATGATTTCAACGCGAAGCTACAGGAGAAATGTGCCGAACTTGAAGCTGAGCTCCGGGAGAAGGGAAAACAACTCCAGGACCTCAAGGCTACCCGCGAAGAGCTTCCTGGTGCGGACGATGAGCAGTGGAAGGAGAACGATGTTGTCGTGCGGAAGGAGTGGGACGCCAGGAGAAAGGAGTTGCACAGCCAGCTGGTAGCGGAAACCAAGAAACTCCATAACCTGGATTCGCAGATTCGGTATCTTAGGGAGGAGCACCACAATATGGGACTGTACTACAGCAACCAACCAGACCCTACTGCCGCAGAGTTTGAGCCTGCAACAGCTCAGGACCCCAGAGACAGCGGGAACTTCGACTCTCTTTCCCATCTCAACCTGTCACCGCCGCCCAACCAGTTTGGACCACCTGACGACTCTTTCTCTGGTTTCAGCCGTGCTGGATTTAGTCAAATATTGTTTATGGACCACAACGCGGCCGACAACGCTGATGATCACCAGTCAGAGGCCGACTTCAGGGCTAACGCGGGACCTCTTAGTCCTACTGCCCATTCTCTTCTTCCTTCAGGCATCTTTGACGAAACTTTTGAGGATGCTGAAGAGCATCTTCCAAACCAGTACTTGCCAGAATCTGTCACAGCTGCAGAGGAGGATAACCCGCAATCGCCATTATCGTCAGATGGACGCTCTCTCAACATGTTCTCCAGTCCTCATGGCTCGTCTCACAACTTGCCTTTCCCTCAGTACAACGACATGGACTCGCAATCCCTGAACATCAACTCATCCCCACAGCAAGCGCCCCTTCAATCGAGTCACCGACTATCTAGCTTGTTGTCTAATTTCCAACGCAGGGGAGCAAAACCGGCGGATGTTGAAGGACCTGCGATTGGCAGCCTTAAGGCGGGTCAGAGCCAATCGTTCCCACGAAGCACTGATGATCATGACATGCCAGGCAGCAAGCGTAGGATAAGTTTCTCATGGATGAATAGGCACTCGGGAGAACCCAGCCGGTCGAGCATGGGTCCTACTTCCAGGCCATTTTCTGCTCGGAGACTGAACCCGTTTGCCAGCAGTGCTGGCGCTCTTACAGGAGACAACGATTCTCCCGACTCTCGGCCTGCGTCAATTGCTTCCACGGACCTTCCTCGACCCTCGACTGACAGTGGCTCAATCTGGAACATGCCGGGTGATTTCTCTATGCTAGCCAAGAACCGAGTCTGGTCGCCGAACGAAGGGCGCTGGTCTTCCAGAAACCCATCTCGCCGTCCTTCACTTGGTGCCGCCCCGACCGTGCTTGAGACGACTCTTGCAACAGCCAATGATGAGATCCTCGACGATCGTGACTTGCTCGACCCTCAGACATCACCTAGTCAGATTGGTGTCATCGGATCACGTCCGCCTAGTCACCGAGCATCAATGAATCGAAATCTCAACCCAGCGGCACCCACGTTTAGGACACCATCTTTCTTTGGTCGCAGAGATAGAGACGCTAGCCCCGACAAAGGATCGAAGGGTAAAGAAAAGCGTGGTAAATCCAAAGAGGGCCGTACTAAGGGCATAGAAGCTTTGACACCCACCGTCGAAGTGCCACCAAACCTTGATGACTCGCCATCAAGTCCACGAATGTCTCGCGACGCTTATTCTGTTCACACGCAGAACTCGATATCGGAATCTCATGAGTCTTTGGATTTGGGCATGACAGCCTCGAATTCGACGACGGACAACAACGCTGCGAGCCACAAAGATGCCGATAGCAGTGTGGTCAAGAAGCTGTTTAGGAAGGGAAGCTCCAGCAAGTTTAGCACACTGTCTTCCAGGCTGAGTAAGGACTCTGTCTTGTTTAAAAAGGGGCCCGGCAGCAGCACATTTTCCGAGAAGAACATGTCATCAGAGCATCGACCTAGTATTGGCGATGCCGACGAGCTTGACGAGGACATATCTCAGCTTGGCCGCAGCTACGACAGTATGGCTAGCAGCCCTTCGTTGGGTCAAGGCAGCTTCAAGTCCAAGGACGCCCCTAAGGAGGGTCGCATGGGAACGTGGCGCTTCTCGATGAAGAAGAAGACGAAAGAGCCTGCCGCGAAAGAGAAGGAAAGTTTGGAAAATGACAGGCCTGTAGATGAGTAGAGGGGTATATAATAGCATGAGATGCTGCGTAAAGCAGTGCAGCGTTCTAGAATATTATGTAGCGAAGCGAAGCGAAGCGGCATGTTGGCATTGTAGTGGATAGCAAGATTTTATCATGATTATTCACATCGTTGATAATCACACCTCAACCGTTGTACTTTTTTGAATATAAACATTCTCGCCGAGTTGTATAGTTATCTTTAAAGGAAAGGGCATGCGTGCATGCTTCAATGTTGATGGAGGCTCAGCTCAGGGGAAGTTCAGCCACGTAGTAGTAGCCCAGCCCAGCTTATCCGGGATGGCCCGCTTTTAGCCATCATGGCACTTGACACGTGCAAGGAGCTTCCTCATGCTCATGTTCATTGCGAACAACAACGTCCACCATTGATTGAATCATCTTGGGGGTATTCCGGATAATCAATGGATGAACTGCCGTCATAATGAATGGCAACTATACAGAACCTTCAGCCCTAGACGCTGGTGAGTAGGTGGTGAAGCTGGAGCTTACCTTTATCCCTTTGTTGCTAACCCCCCATCCCTCTATAGTCGACTACAATGCGATAGATCACCTCAACCTCCTGTTTTCGCATCCATCGGCGATATCATCTATAAGCGAGGTCTCAAAATCGCTCCAGAATCACCAAAATGCTCTTTCGAACGATATAGCCACGCTCGAAACCACCCAGGCCTATGGCTCCGACTCAAGCCTCGAGCGCATGCAATCAGCGCAAGCCGAGCTTGCCCAGCTGTTTCGAAAGATCGAAACGGTGCGCTCACGTGCGATCGAGACGGAACAGAATATCACATCGATGACGGCCGATATCAAGAGACTCGATGGGACGAAGCGCAACCTAACGCTAAGCATGACAGCGCTCAAGCGGCTACAGATGCTGACAACGGCTTATGAGCAGCTCCGAGGCTTGGCCAAAACGCGCCAGTACAGAGAGTGCGCAGGTCTCTTGCAGGCTGTTTTACAGCTCATGAAACACTTCAACAGCTATCGTAGTATCGAACAGATCGCGACGCTGAGCAGGGGTGTGGCTGAGCTGCAGCGCGAGCTTCTGGAGCAGGTCTGCGAGGACTTTGAGATGGCATTCGCCAAGGGAGAAGTCGGCTTGCGAAGGGGTATGCTTGTTGAAGCCTGCCTTGTCATGGACGCTCTTGGAGATTCCGCCAAGGCTCGTCTCATGAACTGGTACGTCAATACTGAGCTGCGAGAGTACCGACAGGTCTTCCGAGGCAACGATGAAGCCGGTAGCTTGGACAACATCGGACGGCGATATGCTTGGTTCAAACGAATGATGAAGACACATGATGACGAGCACTCGATGATCTTCCCACCGCATTGGAGGGCCAATGAGACACTGGCAGCGGCGTTCTGCGACGGTACTCGCGATGACTTCAAGGGTATTCTGGAGCGCAGCATGCGACGTACGGACGGCAACAGGATTGATGTCAATCTACTATTGAGTTGTCTGCAGGAGACATTGGACTTTGAGCAGAGTCTTGAAAAGCGTTTCGCAACTACCTCAAGAGCCAGTATCGACACACTCAGCTCCGTCGAAGATCGGGCACACAGCTTCCATGGCATGATTTCAGTTGCATTCGAGCCCTACCTGAGCTTATGGGTTGAATCGCAAGATAAGCAACTGGCAACGATGATACCCAAGTATCGCAGCCAACCACTTATACCACCTGATGATGAGTTCTCACCACAGGCTGTCATTGCCTCAGCGATTGAGCTATTTCACTTTTACAAACTCACGCTGTCGCAATGCGCAAAATTATCTACCAGCGAACGTCTTCTCGATCTAGCTAAAATACTGGCCAAGTATCTGGATGAATACGCCCAGCAAGTCCTGCTGCATATATTGCAGTCTGGTGGCCCTCAAGGTCCTCCACTCCAGGACGTGGTGCTGGTGTTGAACACAGCCGACTTTTGGCACATAAACACAAATCAGCTGGAGGAGAGCATCAAGAAGAGAATCGACGGTGAGCTCGTGTCCAAAGTTGATCTTTCATCACAGTCAGATGCCTTCCTTGGTGTAGCGAGTGCATCTGTTCTGGCTCTCGTTCGCGCTGTCGAGCTCGACTGTGAAGGTGTCTGGCGTGAGATGAAGAATACTAATTGGAGCACCATGGAGAGTGTTGGCGATCAGAGCTCATACGTAGGCGAGCTTGTAAAGCATGCTGATGGGAAAGCTGCTGAGATTTTGGGTATCATCTCGAAGCAACAGTACGCCAGGGCCTTTTGTGACAATTTGGTGGAGCATCTGGCGACAGGGTATATTAATAGCATTATCCAATGCCGACCGATATCCGAAGTCGGTGCCGAGCAGGTAAGTTTGATCCATTCGCTCGAGTCAGGTTCATGTCTAATAGTGGGTTTGTAGATGTTGCTCGACAAGTATGTTCTCACCAAGGCCTTTGAGAAGTTGATCATGCACCATGCATCATTCTCAGGACACGAGGCTCCTCCATCGAGCTTTGTGCGAAGAGTTCAGCATTGCATGAACCGACTTGATCCATTGCTCAAGACACTTCAAGTGCGACCCTCGCCGCCAGAGGGCTTGGTGCAGGCGTATCTGATCCATATCGGAGATCGCTCAGATACCAACTTCAAGAAGATATTGGATCTGAAGGGAGTTCGAAAAGCGGACCACGGCCATCTGATAGAGCTCTTTGGTATTCACCGGGATAGCACAACTAATGACAAGCTGGTTGCTAGCTCGCCATTACTAACACCTCTCATGACAACCATGAGCTTGGGTAACACCGCTGCCCTGTCAACCATGAATCCGACAGTGGCATCAGCAGTCAGTCCTAGGTTTGAGGCCGGATCTCTGGGCGAAAAGCTCCTCAGCGCAGCAAGAGATATCCAGGGCAGTACGAGCACCGTGGCACAGACAGGATTAGAAAAGGCAACAATCAATGAGAACTTGCGGAACTTTGGCAAGTTCTTCAAGAGAGATATTGGATCATTGGGAGCTAGATTTGGAAAACGAGATGGTAGTGTTGGCGCAGAGGAAGGACGATAGAGCGTTTGATACAGTTAGATCGACTAATAACGTCATGGATCCCTTGTTTATTCATCTTTTTTTAACTCAAGCCATGTTCCTGGTTGTCATGAGGAATCAATTAAGGATATCATTTAACCATCATGTACCCATCTTGGTACACTGCCTTAGCCGCGGTATAATTCGGCTTAGTAACGTCAGTTGATGCTACTGATTGATAAGGGAAACTGAGCAGAAAAAATAACCTGGTCAGCTGTCAAAGTCATCCAGCAGCTTCTAATCCTTCTGCTAAGGCAAATGTCATCTCCACACCAAAGACTCTCTCCGTTGGCTTATAAATCCACTATCTCGACCCCCGATCCAATCAGAATATCTCCTCGAATTTGATTCCATATCCCGAATCTGCATTGACTCGACTTGCCTCACCTCGCATTGCATGAATAGTCCAGACCCCACATATCAAACCACGTTCACATTCTCTCAGGGTCGCCCGCAGTCGCCGAAGTCGCTTTCAGCTAGTTAACTTGACCAGTTTTTTCTTTACCGCCCCTCCCCTCTGCTGTACAATTTGACATCCATCGCATTGCTAGTCTTGAGTGGCGCTTTCCTGTTCCTGTTCCTGTCTGAATAAAGAACTCGCGACAACCCACCTTTTTTCTTCTTTCCCCCATCCCACCTCCAACACCGCCAAACTGTTCTCCTCAACCTTCAAACGCGTTACTCTTCGTTCAAGCGCTGGCCTATCGATTGCGGCAGCGGCTACTACATTTCATAAAACAACTAGAAAACCAGCCGTCGAGTTTGGTGTTAGAAAAATGCACAGCAAGGTTGTCAGTATGTTTTACCCCTCCATCGACAGGGTGAACCCCTCATACTCCGAAAAATCACAGATAAGGCTGACATTGAGTTTGTACAGTTATCGGCTCAGGGCCTGCTGCCCACACGGCTGCTGTCTACTTGGCACGAGCCGAGTTGAAGCGTAAGTTGACGATTTGTGCTCAGATATAGCACTGCAATACTAACACAAGATAGCCGTTCTCTATGAGGGTTTCATGGCCAACGGTATCGCCGCTGGCGGTCAATTGACCACCACCACCGAGGTTGAGAACTTCCCCGGTTTCCCCAAGGGTATCATGGGAGGCGAGTTGATGGTAAGCTTATCTCAGACTCTGGCTGGAAAACCAAACTGACATGACCCCAGGACAACATGCGAGCCCAGTCCGAGCGTTTCGGCACAGAAATCGTCACCGACACTGTCGCTACCCTCGATCTCTCTTCCCGCCCCTTCAAGTACACCACCGAGTTCTCCCCCGAGGAGACACACACCGCCGAGACCGTTATCCTCGCCACCGGTGCCTCCGCCCGCCGTCTGAACCTCCCCGGTGAGGAGAAGTACTGGCAGAACGGTGTCTCCGCCTGCGCTGTCTGCGACGGAGCCGTCCCCATCTTCCGCAACAAGCCTCTCTTCGTCATTGGTGGTGGTGACTCCGCCGCCGAGGAGGCCACTTTCCTCACCAAGTACGCCAGCCACGTTACCGTCCTCGTCCGTCGCGACATCCTCCGTGCCAGCCGAACCATGGCCAACCGACTCCTCAACCACCCCAAGTGCACCGTCCTGTTCAACAGCGGTGCCACCGAGATTCGAGGTGGTGAGGATGGTCTCATGAGCCACCTCGTTGTCAAGAACAACAAGACTGGCGAGGAGAAGGTTCACGAGGCCAACGGTCTGTTCTACGCTATCGGTCACGACCCCGCCACTACCCTTGTCAAGGGTCAAGTTGACATGGACGAGGATGGCTACATCAAGACCACCCCTGGTACCACATACACCAACGTCGAGGGTGTCTTCGCTGCTGGTGACGTCCAGGACAAGCGATACCGACAGGCTATCACCAGTGCCGGTACTGGATGTATGGCTGCTCTCGAGGCCGAGAAGTTCCTTGCCGACCACGAGGACGACGAGCGAGCCGACGACCGACCCAACCCCAACTAAGAAAGAAAAATAGAGACATAAAAGCTTCAATATAGACTTGCGCCGTTTTAGACAGGATATAGAAATCTAGTTAAAAGTCACGAGCAGTCAATAGACTCAATCTAATGAATTTTACGTTAAAACAAGTTTTCACAATATCAGAGTGCACGTGTGATATTTCCAATTGAGGACCTTTATTTACTATTTCATTACTTTTGGCCGACTATGTTCTTTAACTAAACAAGATGCGCCAAACAACTTTTTATCTGCCAAACCTAGGACAACAGCATCATAATGCTATCCTGGCTGGTTCATGGTATCATGATATGTTATTTTCTTAGTTTCGCTCGAGAACAGCAGGAGGGGTAATCTCGTTGCCCTTGAGGTTCTCAAGACCCTCACCACCCTGTACAATGTTAGCATCATGTTCTCTGTGTATATAATCTGAGTGCCTTGACTTACGTAGCTGATAAGAGGTGACACCTCAACACCGACATCGGCCTTGTCGCCAACAACGACGGCACCGGCGGCCTCCACCCAGCGCTTGCCCTGGGTCATGATATCGGCCTTGCTGGTATCGGGGTCATCCTCACCAGTGCCAGGAGCGTTCTTGAGAGGAGAGAACTCGTCCTCACGCTTAACCTCGAGAGAGGCAAACTTCTCCAGTGACAGGAAGGGGAAAACGTCGAAGACGAACTGCTCGAGCTTGATGCCGTTAGGCTTCTCGGGCTTGACAGTCTCGCCGCTCTGGAGATCGGCGGAGGGGATCTTCTTGCGGGCGATGTGGTGAGGAAGCTTGTGAGCCCACTGGGGGATAGAGTCGAGGAAGCGGAAAGAGTAGTAGTGGTTGACAATGTTGGCAGCACGGAATCGGAGGAGGTCAGGCTGCTTGGGGTCGGTCTCCTCAGCGGTAGCCTGGTCAATCTCAGAGTACTCAACAACATCGGGCTTTCCGTTCTTGGAGAGAATGAGACCGACAGACTCGGTAGCGTTACGCTTACGCACGACCTTGGTGGCAATGTCGACATCGAGAGAAGCAGAGAAACCGATGAAGACAGGGTCAGCGACCTTGACAAGGCAGTTGTCAACGCAGTAAGCATGGATGTGCTGAACGCCACGCTTTCGCATGTCGTCAACAACACCAGAAACAACGAGAGCGTTGTAGAGACCACCGTTTCCGTCAGGGGCAACGGCAACCTTGCCCTTGGTCTCAAGGAGGATCTTGCCATCGTTGGAGATGCAAGGCAGAACACCCTGCTCGAAGATCTTGACGTTCTCCTGGCTCAAGCCGAAGTAGTTGTTCTCCTGGAAGAACTTCTCGGTAGGACCACGAGTAGGACCGCTGGTCATGACGTACCAGGGAACAACGGCGTTTGAGCCCTTCTTAGCAGCAAGCTCCTGAATCTTGGCGATTCGCTCACCCTGAAGCTGGAAGAGAGACTTGTGAGAGGGCAGACCAATGTCGTAGCAGCCCTTGGGAGCAGAGCTACCCAGACGGGTACCCTGGCCACCAGCCATGAGGACAACAGCGACCTGACCCTTGGAGATGAGGTCAAGACCAGAGTCGTACCACTTGGCAATATCATCGGCGCTGGAGTCGAGGATACTGGCGGTGGCAGATTCGGGAAGAGGCTCGAGGCGGTCGGGCTCATCGCTGGTCTTGGGAGGGTTCAAGGCGCGGTTTGTGATGTCGTTGATGTGGGAAGGGTCGAAGCCAGAGAGCTGCTGGTAGAGGGTTCCTCGCTCGGCGGAAGACAGAGAGTCGTAAAAAGTGAAGACTTGCTCCTGGCCGGCCTTGGAGTACTTCTCCTTGAGCTCGTTGAGAGCCTCAGGAGTAGGCTCAGCAGGGGCGTCAGAGCCCTTGCCAAGGTGAAGCGCCTGCTTGATGGCCTCCATTGTGATGTGTGTGTGTAAGTGGTTTGGGGGGGGAGTTGCGGTGAGAACGATTGAAAGCTTATAGACGGGTGTCTAGAAGCTAAGATGAGAGAAAATATGGAAGAGATTGAAGTGGTATGAAGAGAGAAGAGGAAGAGAAAAAGAGGAAGAAACAATGGGGGGTGGGAGAGTTGGGAGCTAAATACGAATGGAAGACAGTCGATCTCGGAAAGAGCCTTACAGCAAGGTAATCCGCGACTTTCCTTTTCGTTCTTGACGTCGTACTTTCCCTAGCAACGCACCTGCCTACCCAACACGTTTACTTCCTACCTAGCTTACCTACTTCTTACTACGGTCTTACCTTACCTCTACCTACCTTAGGTGTAACGCCTTTACTTCACCGTACCTTGCTTGCACTTGCTTAAAGCTCCCACCCCAATGCTGATGCCCCTCAGCTGCCCCGCCTACTCTAGGTCGAATTGAGCTTGGCGGCCAATGGGAAGAGGACCATGAACGGCAGAGGGGCCATCGATCCTGCCTCATGCTTGGTGCTGATGGAGAGGCTTTGCTGGACGCCATGGCGCCCATGCTGTTACGCTGCCACCTCCTATTCGATCATTCATGAGGTGTTCGTTTCATACATAAGAGTGTACGTAAGCTCAGATATAACGGTCAGGTATAGTAGACCTCAGAGTCAGGTATCAGAGTGAACTCTTGGAAAAGAGTCGTTACAATGGCTCGTATTTGTCGTCAACAAAACTGTATCCATGATTTTCACAGCAACCATGAGATCCATACAATTTCTTCAGGGACCAGCAGGGTTCGGGTTCGTCAACTTGTCTCACTACCCCACCATGACATTGAGGTGAGGCCAAAGGCAGGGCTGCTGTGTGGCTGTGGCGGCTGACGGGAAATGTCGATGTCATTGGATGAATCTAAGATGCTGAAAATAGCATCCTATGCCAGGGGGACGGATGCTAGTATTCATACTGGTAGTTGAAGGTCCAGACATGAATATATATTTTTTTTATAAAAAAATAAATAAAAAGTATTTACAGAAAACGGATACAGAAACTTTCCACAGGAAAATGCATCGTGCATACATCTTCTCAACAATATACTGATACAGAACTCAATAAGCAGGGATTTCTATTAGCAGCTCAGGTCCCGGACCCAAGACTCCTAGCTTTTGGCTTTAGATCGGGCGACCTGTGGCGAATGACCCAGAACATTATTCACGCCACAGTCATTAAGACGAGTCTGAGCTATCAAATTACATCAATAAGACGATGAGTTGGTTGATTTCCGCGGACCAAGAAGAAATAAAACAAATCGCAACGACAGTTCCTGAATTGTCCCAAGAACATTCATTTACTAATCTTCAATCAAGTTGTCATACATTCCCAGCTCCTTTCACTTACACCATCAGCCGAGACACAATGACGAAAAGCAAAGTCGTTCAGAATACTCTTGTACAAGAACCTATTGCCGATGAAGAGATACATGATGACCGGAATATCTCAAGCTCACCTCTTCAGCCAGCAACCTTCAAGGGACGTCTCCAAATGAGTGACTTCATGTTCAAGTCAACTGATCCTACAGTTAAGGGAGAAACCTCCCCTATACGAAGATCACCAAGGTTCAAGCCCTCAACATCTTCTGCCTCAGTAGCACCGACACAAGTCACTGTAACAAAGAAGACCAAGCGAAGAAATACGGAGGATAAAGAGAATGAAGTTACGCCAAAGAAGAAACGAGCGCGTCCTAGTTCTGGATACGCGCCACCTTCAACATACGCCCATTTGTCAGGTCTACCCGACGCCATCACCGACAACCTTCTTGTTTTGTTTATCGGCCTAAATCCAGGAATACAGACAGCCAGGACTGGACATGCTTACGCTCATCCATCAAATCTATTTTGGAAACTTCTCTATTCAAGTGGTCTCACTCCGCGTCTCTGCAGCCCGACCGAGGATCGTCAGCTCCCCGAGATGTACTCAATGGGCTTCACAAACATTGTCGCCCGACCAAGCCGCAACGGATCTGAGCTCAGCAAGCAAGAAATGGACGAAGGTGTTGAGATTCTTCACGAAAAGTGTCGCAAGTACCGCCCCGAGACTGTATGTGTCGTGGGGAAAAGTATCTGGGAAAGCATTTGGCGCGTGAGGCACGGCAAACCTGTTGGCAAAGCCTTCAAGTATGGCTGGCAGGATGAGTCGGAGAATATGGGCGTCATCGAAGGCGAATGGGAGGGATCTAAAGTGTTTGTGTCTAGTAGTACAAGTGGTCTAGCTGCCACGTTATCACCGGCTGAGAAAGAACGGATATGGGCAGAAATTGGATCATGGGCCAAGAAACGGAGAGTAGAAAGGGAGCTTGAGGCAAAAGGCAACAAAGCATAGATCTAGAAATACGTATATTTGCTAATAGAAAAACAAGCGTTCGTTTTTCAGCTGGACAATACTTGACAATAATAGTGATTGGTTTTCATAGATGTCCGACATGTCTAGCTACAACTTTTGCCGTACCAGGCCCTTCTTAGTATTCAGTATAAAGATGTTCTTCCCAACTCCATTACGCCAGAAGCCAAAGCGTCTATAGAGCCTAGCCTTTTACTTGCATCGCTTCTCAACAACATTAGGACCGTTCTCCTCATACTCCTTACGCGAGATCCACATCTGGTGGAATGTACCCAAACTGGCAAGGATGCTACCACCAATCCAGGCGCCGAATCGTCGTTCGCTGGTAAGACCTGCGGCGTGGATCTTGATCTTGAGACCTGGGTACATGGCCATGAGCTCGTTATTCAAGCGGTCATTGAACCCATTGATCAAGCTGGTGCTGCCGGTTACAACAACGTTGGCAAGCAGGTTGCCCCTAAGATCGACATCGACAGCGTTCAGGGCGGCACGGATGAGCTCGGGGATGGTTTGCGTTTTGTTAAGACGGTCAGCCTCGGGGATAGGGTATCCGGCATTCTCATCCCACATGCCCTCCGTGACCCGGAATCGCTGTTCGCGCCACATTTGGTTGTAACCATCAGGCATCTCGAATACTCGGCCTGGTTGTGTCTTGACGTACTCCTCGTTGCCAGGTGAGCTATAGCGACCAGGACCACGCCAGACCTCCACTACCGACTCCTTAAATTCCGTCAACACACGCTCCTCTTCGTAGGCACGGAAAGAGTCGGTGATAGAGTAAGGGAAGTTTCGTAGGCGGACCGAAGGAGGCGATAAGGCATCAACTGGCGTCTTGTTTTCGATCATGAATGTGGGTGTCAATTCGACCTTGGGCTCTGATGACTCGAAAAGAGATCGAATCTGAGAAGAGAGCCAGATGCCACCGGCGGGAGACTTCTGGATAGAGCGCTTCAGCACCATGCCGTCGTGGATAGCGGTAACTGAGGTGTTGGCACCGCCGACATCGATAACGAGTGAAGTGGCCTTGCCGGCCGCAAAGGCTGCCAACACTGGGGTGCGACTTAGCCAGAAGGCAGGGCAGCCCCAGTTCTCCATAATGATTTCGATGGCCTTCTCACGAGCCTTGGGGCTGTTCCAAGGTGCCTCGGTAACCAGGAGAGGGTTCTCACCCAGGGGCTTCTCCATTGACTCGGCTTCGGCATCGTCCATATTGATATCACCCTCTCCATCTTGACCTTCTGGCCTAGGGTCGTCGTTGAGGCCGTTCTTTGTGGGAGGTGTTTGTCGTTCGGGCTGGAGTCGCTTCACAAGCATGTTCTCCCAGATCTTAGCGGCGACATCCCAATCTTCCACGACGCTGTCCTTGTTCATGTAGTTGCGGACCTCGAAGTTCTCACGAGGGATGAGGCACTCATCGCCGAAGAGGTCGCGGGAGTTGTCGCCTGTTACGTGCCCGTAAAATGAAGGCAAGATACTCTTGGGTACATCTTCACCAGCGAAGCCCGCCCGGGTAGAGCAGTATCCAGGGTCGAGAACGAGTGCGGAAACCTCATCTATGTTACCATCAAGTTAGTGGAGATCCTTATGGCGGGCTGACGCGACATGGGGGAGCTAAGAGCAGCGCGTACCTCCGCCGTAGATTTCGGTAGGCTGTACCGATGAGGAAAGCGGTTGGGCCATGATGAGAGCTATGAAAAGAAATGATGCTGTTCGGAGATGGTGGAGGTCAATTAGATGATCCGGCGCAAAGTGTCGCGAGTTTTGGTGGAGTTGCGCAGACCAAACCTATGATAGATGGAGTTCGCGTTGGAACAAATTTCAGCCTTGAGATAGAGTGAGAGTGGTTGGTCGGTGAGGTAGCGCCACATTCTTGCGAAGCTGAAGTGTGGCTGTTGAGAAAACCCCCACCGGACCGCGGGTCAACTTCGGTGGGGCAGACTTGCTATAAAATTTCGCAGATCGACTCTCAAATAACTCTCTTTTTTCTTCATACATGGAGCGCGAGTTCCATGTTACCATCATGATTGTAAGTACACACTTTTTGCTTCGCTATATACCCTCCCTTCCTTTGCCTATATGATGAGCTCGCATATCTCGCTTCAGAACCGCTGCGATTGACACAGTTCGCTGTGGCTGATTTAAACTGCCAATTCTCTGACCCTAGCGCATTGCATCTCTTTACTATATCTTCACTTAGTAGTTGTTGAAGCATTGCTAACTCAATTGATAGAAGATATGATGTCTATACGATATTTCCGTCAGGCCGGCCGGCCTTTAATACAGTCGGTTTCTTTGGCTTCCACAAGTGCCCGTCACTTGCAGGCGTTTAGCTGTGGCAAGTCCTTGACGGGGACAGTATGGGGCTCACAAAGTGTGGAAAGCAGGAGGACCCTAGCTTCTGCCGCTGCTGGGTATGAAGATAATATGGAGGGACTGTCACCTTTCAAGAAACAGCGCCGAACTGAGCTTTGGGCGGAGCAGGAGGAAGAGGATCCCCTCTTCACAGAGACACATCCTCGCCTCGTGCACCGAACAGAGCCTATGTCAGTGCCAGACTTTTACGAGGCTTTCGATAAAGCTCTTGATGATTCCAAGGTTGTCACTGTTCACGGCCGAGTCCGATCTAAGCGAGTTGTAGGAAAGCACCTCATCTTCCTCGATATTGTGAATGAGTTTACACGCCTACAAGTCTTACTCAACCGGTCAAAGTGCATGGTGGAACATGATATGAGAAGATTGAAGTTTGCAATGTTCAGAAATTTAATTCAAGTGGGCGACCACATATGTAGGATCCCTAATGCTTATCCTGTTGTATCCCAGATGCTTACAGCCTGGCAGCAATCACTGGTATTCCAACTCGTAACAAGAATGGTCAACTCAACCTTGAGGCCCACCATCTACCTGAGCTCTTGTCCCCCACCATGGAGCAGATTCCTGAGAAGCTCACCGATCCTAAGACGAGAATGCAAGAGCGTCATGTTGACATGTTGGTGAATCGTGAGGCTGTTGACGTCCTGCGTCTACGTGCCGAGATCACCAAGCACATGCGTGACTACTTCCACTCCAAACGATTCCTCGAGTTCCAAACCCCGATCCTGGCTGAGAATGCCGGAGGTGCCGTCGCTCGTCCTTTTGTTACTAGAGCCACCGAGTTCAAGAACAAAGATTTGGCATTGCGCATTGCCCCCGAGCTATGGCTTAAGCGTCTCGTCATTGGAGGTGTTGATAGGGTCTTTGAGATTGGTCCTTCATTCCGCAATGAGGGTGTTGATGCCACGCACAACCCCGAGTTTACTATGTGCGAGTTCTACAGTGCCTACATCAACTTGGAGGACTTGATCAAGGAGACTGAGGAGCTTTTGTGCAGCCTTGCCCAGCACTCCCAGGATCTCATTTCTACCCAGCTCACATCACTTCCTCCAATCGACATGTCTCGATTCGTCCGTCCCTTCAAGCGAGTCGAATTCGTTCCTGCACTACAGGAAGCTCTTGGACTGCGTCTGCCCAAGCTCTCGTCGCCAACTGCTTTGCCAGAGTTGCTTGCCATCTTGAAGCTTGCTGGCATCGAGGTTCCTGGTGGGGCATTCTTCTCACTATCCAAGTTGCTTGATCGCTTGGCTGCTGTTTACTTGGAACCTATGTCCTTCACAGAGCCTATTCTTATCACAAACCACCCTGCGTGCATGTCACCATTGGCAAAGAGCTTCCTGTGTCCTGAGACCCTTCAGCTAGTGTCAGCTCGAGCAGAGCTCTTCATCGGCGGTCGTGAATTGGCCAACATGTATGAAGAGGAGAACGATCCCGAAGCGCAAAGACGCAAGCTATACGAACACCGATATCTCGTCAACAAGGATGATGGTAGCGTGGCCATTGAGCCTCCGGAGACACCAGAAGGCGAAGATGCTATTATAGAAGCACAGGAAGAGCCTTTTGAAGATGAAGATGGTGATGCTGCTCCTTTGGACCAGAGCTTTGTCAAGGCTTTGGACTATGGCCTACCTCCCACCGGTGGCTGGGGATGCGGTATCGAGCGTATGGTCATGTTATTCTCTGGTGCCAACCGCATCAGTGACTGTCTCAGCTTCGGCACGATAAGGAACGTGGTGGGACTTTCTGCGGCAGAGGAGAACAAGAAGATCGGCTCTGAGGAAGACAAGCAGGCGAGCGAAGATGGAAAGAAGACAGACTCTGATGAGGGATTGTAATTTTTTTCATAATTGTACGAATAGTAGACCCGATTGTCGGGACGATGTATGACAATAGAATTGTATAATATTGTAGCAGTACCTACGTCTCAGAAAGCATGTTAGGGAACAAGACACTTTACTACATATTGCTCACTTGGCCAAATAGTGGCTGTGGTACACAACGAAATCGGAGAATCACCAACGGGTAAATCTCAACTGGTATCTCAAATTATGTACAAAGAAGATGTAACACTATCTAAATCGAGCCAAAACAAGTCTACTTAAATTGCACCCTCTATCCTACAGAGAAGCAGAAAGCTGGAACAAGCTGCTGCCCTTCTTGGGAGAAGACATATCCTTAACCCAAGACTTGACAGTCTCATCACTCAGCGACGAGCCAAAGTCAAAGTTATCAGACAGCTGCTTAATAGCAACGCTTGAAGTTCGCTCACAGAAAACAACAGCAACCTTGATGTACTTGTCAGTGGGACGCTTGAAGTAGTCAGAGCTTCCAGCGCCGTTGTTCATGTGGAAAGTGCTCTTGCACTTGTCATCGCCTGAAGCGAGGACTTCGTAGATATCGACCTCACCGCAGCCAGTCTTCCAGCAGCTGCACTCGCTGTATTGGCCGGTACGGGGGATGCGGCCGTTAAGGGCCCAGAGAGCGGGCATGTCGCCGTTGAAACCCTTGTCGCCGTCCATGGGCATCATGAACTGGAAGAGGAAGATCTTGTTGGAACCGGAGAAGCCCTCTGTTTATGGTCAGTAAATTTTCTGTGAAGACTGGGCAAGGGAGACGTACTGTATGCGACATCTTTGGCGCGAGCGTAACCACAGCTCTTGTCGCACTTCTCGGCACTCCAGATGGAGAACTCCTTGTTTGAAGGGATGTAGACATCCTTCAGAACCTTGGAAGAAGAAGAGCCACCGGTTCCTTTGGCGTTGAGGTAAGAAAGAGAGTTGCCCCAGGTGCTGTCACTCAGTCAGTATGAATCCAATTAGAGAGCCATTGTCGGTTAGGAGTATCGACTTACTTGTCAAAGACACCGGATCCTTCACCACCATAGTTGCCCAAGAACATGACATTATCAGCAACTCGTCGCTGAGAGTTGTAGTAAGCAGTACGCTTCCAGTGTCCACCGGAAGAACCAGAGTAGGAGTTTGTCTTAGCACTTCCTTCCTTCTTGGAGCTCACAGCGGAGTGCGAGCTGGCCTTGAGAGGCTTCTTCTCGGTCTTTTCAGGCTTCTTTGCCTTGTCGGAAGGGGCACCAACGACAGCAGGAGCAGCTTGAGTAGCAGATGGTCCGAACCAGTTGTTCTTCCAGGACACGACCTTTCCGTCAATAGTAGCAGTAACCCACTCTTCACGCTTCTTGCGCTGCTCGTGGAGATGACGATGGCCGTGGAGGTGAGGAGAGGGGACAGTCTCGGTGTCACGCTTCTTCTTGCTGGAGTCGAGGTTGTAGACGGCAAACTCCTTGAGCTTGAAGGGGCCTCGAATATGAACAGAAAGCTGGTGGTCTCCCATTAGATTCTGCGGTAGATATCAATGAGTGACGGTTGACTTACATCCTCGCTCAGAGGTCCGAGAGCGCCATCATAAGAGACAGACTCTCTCTGGCAAGATCCATCAGAACCCATCTTGCTCACAGCCTGGTAGCTACCCTTTCCAGAGAATCCCTGGTAGAGGATCTCCTCGATAGCACCACAGAACCAGTTACCGCCCTCGTTGACGGCATTGCCGGTACATTGTTGAGTGAGAGTGGCCGAGGCAAGGCCACTGTAAGCCAGCAGGGAAACGTTTTGAAGCTTCATGGTGTTATCAGGACTCAAGATATGTCAACTTGAGTTACTTGTAGATATTGTGAGACCTGTTTCCGAGTATCTTCGTTTCGTGGTAGTGCAGTATCTCGTGTAAGGAGCTAATGCTTCGGTATGAACTGTGTTTCAAAGAATGGATCTCAAAGACAATGACAGCACGGTTGGTTTTAAAGAGCGACTTAACAAAATGAGTGAATAGCGGTTATGAACCAAAGTGTAGTAATGAATGAATGAATGTTTCAGCACCAACCTCAAGCAGGAACGAGGATGACCAGAAACCTCAGTCCATCATGAGGGCAATGGCGATATTAAAGGGAAACCCCCATAGTCTGGGCAAAGCACAGTCACATCCTTTCGACTTCCCAAAAGAGAATCAAGGCCAACAATGCCTAGCTTGATCCCAAGTCTGGGCGGTAGATCTCAATTCTGTTCCTGGCACGACGGACAGGAATCAGAATGGCTTATTGGACGTGATCAGCAGCTTGTAGCCAAGATCGATAGTGGTGCGGTGCAAGCATATTGTTTCAGGGCATTAAAGACCGGACTCTTGGCCAATCGAAGAGATGAAATGACTTGTTTCCAATAGTTAATATTGACGACGGCGTGACCTTTCTGTATTGGGCATGAGGCCATCACCGAGAGCCACGCCTAGGCGCGTAGGCGAATGGCGCAGCGGTCTTGGCTTCAAAGCGTTGTCGTTTGGGCTTGAGGCCAAGAAACTTGATTAAACGCCGAGAAGCGCTATTTGAAATTGGACATGAGAGTAGAAAGTAGCTCAGACTGCCCAGTCCTACTATAGTTTCCATTCATCTCAAGTCTTTCATCTTGATGACTTGGCGACAGCGAATCTCTGTGACAAGTTGTTGATGAATCAACCAGGAATCAACACATATTCTTTGTCATTCAAATACCGAAACATGGCGGGCTTTGCTGGACGAATTGAATAACACCTGAGTAAGAAACGCATGACTTTCTGAGGAAGAGAGGCTGGGGAAACATCCCTGAGACACCAAGAAAGCCGCGTCAAAGGCCAACGCTTGTCTTGTCTTGGCTTTTCTTGGCGAGTCCCCTATTTCGACTCCTTAGAGCCGACATAGTCTTTAGGGTGCCAGAAGAAGTGACCGCTAAAAGACTAAGGGACGAAATAGTTTAGTTATTTTATGCCAGCTTAGACCCTCTCTTAGGCTACTTTATTTTGGCAACCTAAGCCTCAGAGGACAATTCTTCTGTTGCCCTAAGGGTCGGATGACGATAATGTCTTTGTTATTTTAAATGACAATAAGGTCGTTTCTGGAATGTCCACGTGTTGCCCGATTCGATACACTATAATCAAAAAGAGAGAACTTCCAGAAGCTGCATTCATGCGAAAGGCGGGAAGTGATTAATTGAATGCCGCTCATAATTCGAGGGTCACAAGGCGAAAGTTGTAAGTGAAATTAAAACAGCAAAAAGAATTGACCAAGAAGGTTAGTATGTCAGGAGGGGGAGGGCGGCGATCGAATGTCGTGATTGTTTGTTGAACAATTCCAGGGATTGAATGTGATAATTTTTTATAAGTAAGGTTTGGATTGGACTGTATATGCATTTTGTTGCCGTTGTTGATACCGCTTCGTAAGTTGTCGACGTCGTTTCACAGTGACATCTGTGTTAACCTGGTATATAACCAACCCTATGCCGGGCTTGAAGAAAGTATAGTTGGGTGGTGAAGCTCTGAGAGTCTCTGCCTGATTCGTGAACTGATGTGTTCTGCGGTTTGTATTCTCATATTCAACACATAATTGGTCTCTGGTATTATGCTTCGTGCTTTTGGTATATACGTCCATCTTTTATCATGACGATCCCATCTAATCGTCGAAACCGCCCCATTCTCCGTCATCACCACTGTCATCGTTCGCTTGCAATTTTCTCTTCTTGCTTCCTTCAATAGCGCCGCGACGGTTGTTCTCCTTGCGTCTCTCATAACCACTCTTGGATGTAATCTTGGCCTTGGTGCCACTTCGTCGGGCTTCAACACCCCTCTCCTTGAGCTTTTTGCGGTCTGCCTTGCCAACGTTTGGCAGGGCGTCGAGCAGCCACTTTTGAATACCAGCCTCGTCTCCTGTCTTTCCAGCCTGCTTCTCGCTGGCAGCGATCACGTTGGCAACCATCTTGACGAAAGGAATGTCTTCCTTGGTGTAGAAAGTGACTGCAACGCCACCTTCACGACCAGCGCGACCTGTTCGTCCAGCACGGTGGACGTAGCCAGCGCTGGATCCGGGCACATCGTAGTTGACAACACCGTTGACACCGGCAAAGTCCACACCTCGAGCAAGAACATCTGTTGTGATCAAGACCCAGATGTCACCAGCGCGGAACTTGCGCATGATGGCTGAACGAGCAGAATCAGTAAGGCCACTGTGGAGAGCAGCGATTCTTGCTGCACCACCAGCCTCGAGAGGAATATCATACTGCAACTCTTCATGCAAAGCAGTCGCTCTGTCAATAGTCTGAGTGAACACCAGGAAAGGAGGTCGTAGTGGAGGACCCGAATCGACGGCGCCTGTAGGATGTAGAAGTTGTCGCAGGGCGAGCAGTTTACCCTGCTCGGATGCAGTGTAGATGAGCTTGTGAGCAATGTTTGGCACAGCTGTATCCTTGAGACCAACAACTAACCGGACAAAGGGCTTCGGTGTGATAGCCAATGACTCTGCTCTTGAAGTCAACTTCTCTGTGACCATGACCTCGATGTTTGAACCCATGGTAGCGGACCAGAATGATACTCGAAGGTTGTTGTTTGTGCATGCTGTCCAATCAGCCATTGTAGCATCTCGGAAAAGGGGATCAAGCAGAACATCTGCCTCATCCAATATCAGATCTCGAACAGTAGGCAAAACTTTTTGTGTGCCTGGTGGTCCAGATGTGAGGAACTTGAGTAGGAGGAAGGGTGTAGTGACCAGGATATCGGCCTTGGTGATCTGCTTGGGCTTGTCGTCGGAAGGTTTCTTGTCATCATCCTCGGAGTCAGACTCTTTATCCTCGTCTTCTGAACTGTCTTCTGCCATGTCCACTTGCTCAGCTGATAGTTGTGTTTGCTTCTTCATCGAGACAACCCTGAGGCCAGTGCCTTTAGCCAACTTTTGTCCCTCGCTAACAATCTGGTGCACCAGTTCTCGGGTTGGCGCAACAACGATGGCCTCGAGTTCGTGAATATCGCCAGTCTTTTCTTCAGAACGCCTGCGCAGGATGTTGTTGATGGCGGGAATCAAGAAACTGATCGTCTTTCCACTTCCTGTAGGGGCGATGGCCAGAAAGTCGACACCTCCATCCAGTCCATCCTCATCCTTCAAGGCAGCTTGGGGGTGAACCAAAAGAGGCAAACTACCCATTTGAACTTCAGTAGGGACACGGTATCCTTGGAAGACCAGGTTATCGGCAACCTTGTCCGAAAGGCCATAGGCTTGTCGAAGCTCGCCGAAAGAATCCAAGGGCTGTGGGAAGAGTTGTTTCTTGCTATCCTTCTTAACCTCGACGGCCGTCTTCTTCTTTTTCTTGCTCTTCTTAACCTTGGACTGATCCTCGGGCTTTGAAAGTAGAGTAATCTTAAGTCGATGCGATCGCAAAAGCTGGCGACACTCGTCCTCGCTCAATGTCTGGGATGATCGTGTAGGTTTGGGCGCCTGGACAGGTTCCTCCGTCTCGACAGCTTCTTTAGCGACAGGCTCAGGCTTGGGCGCAAAGAAGTCAACTTCGGGCAGCTCTGATTGAACTTCGGGCTCGGGTTCATTCTTTGTTCGCTTTCGCTTCTGGCCGCGGACTTGATCGTGGTACAGCTGGGGGTTCGTGGTGGTGCCAGCAGAGGGAAGCTTCTGCTGAGCGTTGCTGGCATTTTGGGAACCCTTTCGGGTCTTTTTGGTTCCACGCGATAGAACCTTGAGGATATCCATGGTGAATAGGAGTGCGCTATTACGCGTGGTTGAAGCAGCGAGCGTGGATTGTGCGGTGCGATCAGAAGGAAAAACTGCTAACAATTGAGAATTGGATTAAGAAATTTTAGTGGAGCTATTTGATGTTTACTTGACGGAAAGCACATGCGGATAGTGGGGGGTGGGGGACAAGTGTGGCTGGTGAGGAAGCAGCAGCCACAGTTGGAAAAGCACAGCCATAGGTGATGATCAGGGCAGCTACTTTAGTTAAGTTAGTGGACGTTATGGCGCTATGGCGCTATGGCTTTACCGTTGCAAGACAGATCCAAGATTAGATGCGCTATGTCTTAAAATCCCCGATCGTTGAATCTGTGCACGTTCTTGACCTTCTCGATGATACCAGGAACTGTACATGGAAAGTCCCTTGTCAAATAAAATACCTTTTCATCCAATAGCTGAGGTCAAGATGATTGGTTCCCTGTCGATCACCGTCATAATCATGTCCAACTTTTGCTGCACAAGGTTGACGTCACACCAGCAGCAGATACAGCCAGCAATCAGGATTTGGGAGCTCCGAAAACATGGAAATACATGAAACTGCAGCAGGAATTAGTACTGTACTTTACTATCTCTTATGACTTGCATTCCCCATTTCTTTCTTTTCTGACCTGCATTAATTATCTTCAGACAACTATCTACAGATCGAATCATCTTCACTTATACAAACCGCCATCATGCCGACTATGCTTGGTCTCACCAACGACCGTTCCTCCAACGGTCTCAATGCCAACGAGAGCAAATTCGGAGGCCCCTCAAGCCAAAGGGGCATGGAACTCACCCCAGCTCAACAAAACGGCAGCATCGTTTCCGGTATCCAAGGATCCGACTTCTTCAACGGCGGCGGCAAGCAGCAGGAGCACGACCCTGATGATGAATCAGACGAGGAGAACCTCAAGACTATCAAGGGCCGAAACCTCTCTGCTGTAAAGGAAATGGAGACTCTTCTCTGGCGCGCCCTTTGCGACAAGCCCAAGACTGCCCTCAAGTACATCGCCAAGGACGCCGTCATGTCCAACCGCTTCCTCTTCGGCGACCCAACTCCTCGCACCGCCGACTCTGACCCTTCTCTTGAGGAGGAGGTCAAGCACTGTGAGGAGTGGCTCGCCTACAAGATGCACGACCCCCAGCCTGTCGAGATTGGTCTCATGGCTGCTGCCATCGGATACAAGGTCACGCTGTTCCGTCAGCTCGACCAAGGAGACGGCAACTTTGGCATGCAGACTGTCCAGGCTACCTGCTCTAGCTCTTGGAGACAGCTTGCCAGCGGAGACTGGGAGCTCACCAGTATGTTTGCCGGTTAATTTGGTGGAATGACGACTTGGACGATGGCATGAAATTGGATTGGCGTTAATGATGTACCTACCTATGGAGTAATGGCTTGGTGATTCGTTGGAACAGGGTCAACTGATATATATATTATATGTAAATGAGATCGATATTTTACCTAACCTGACTTTTTTGATCATCAGCCATCGTTGTCATTCCTTTGTAATTATATTGTTGTTGAAAAACAGGAACTTGTCCTAGAATTGGAACTGGCATAGTTCAAAGACACATTCTTCACTCGTTCTAGACATGTTTCTTGTTGTCAAGGGCACATCCATCTCTGGATAGCACCTGAATCTGTTGCATTCATACCCAAAAGCCAAAACTCCATACTTGCAATCGTGATCATGACCCCGACCTTTCCCCTTTCCAAAGCTATATACGCCAAATCCCTCGCAAACTCCTATATGTATTATATGTGTGTGTACATGTGTGTGTATATATATACCTTCTTAACAATCGTCATCGGTAAGCGGCTCAATACTTATCTCATAATCCAACCTCTTCCCCATACCCCTTGCTTTCTTGATATCATTCTCAATATGTCGCATAAACTCTTCTCGAATGTTTCCGAAAACCTCCTCATTATATAAATAAACCTGCCGCAAATGCGTGATGGTCCCGGAATATTGCCGGATACACAATCCCGCGATCTTCTCCTTGTCCTCCATAGGCAGAGCTTCGACAAACTCTTGAAGGGACATGGAAAAGAAGCTATAAGGCGAGAATGTGAATCGGTCTGCGTGACCGGTGCAGTGCCGCACTGCAAAGGCGAACTTTATAGGTGTGTCGGTATTGGTGGCATGGCTGCGAAGATGGTTGTCAAGAACATACTTGGCGTGCTCGCAGTCGAAGTAGGGTTGTTTCTTTGATGGTATGTCTAAAAGAGCCTGATATGGGTTCTCGCACTTTTCCTTTAGAAAACGCGGACCTCCAATATCGTCTAGGCCCCTTTGTGGTGTCATGTCATCACCCAGGGCCCAAGAAGCCGATATGCCGTCGATATCATCTGTAAGATCTACAGGGATTTGTCCTGGGGCGGCGAAAAGCTCGTGACTGGGGCTGGCGAAATGTGTTGGTGCATCGAGTTTGGATTCGTATTCGGCCTCTCCCAGAGATGACATGTGTGCTTGGAGTGCCCTGCTGCTCTCTCCAGACTCTGAGTAACCATGAAGTGGAGCTGCATTTGCCGGTCTCTCGCTGATCTCGTCAAGAACAGAACTGCGTCTCTCTGTCATGGATTCATGTGGTAAAGCTTCCTTGGCCTGATTTCTGGCACTCTCGAGACCCTCCTCCCTTGCAGCTCCGCCGACAAAGACTCCACTATCGACTGTAGACGAACGCAGGTTGGCGTCAGTTGAAGGGTCTAGCTCCTCATTTTCATCTTCATGAATTATGTCTTTTCTCCTCTTTGATCTGTTCTCACGGTTGTTGAATTCATGAAAGATTCTGTCGGAGACGTCAGAGAAGGCGCTATCTGCGGTGTCGTCGTCAGACGGAGGCACAAAAGCGTCAAAGAAACGGGGATTCTTTGCTCGATTTTGGTCCTCTTCAAGTTCAGCTTCAGCTGGACGTTTAGAGGTTGCCCTGTTGGGGAGTTGAGTCACTGTTTGGTGGTTGTTATGGCTGAAGTAACCCTGAGGTGGTGGAGGAAGAGAAGGTAATCTCTCGGGAAAGTTATCCAAGGTAGGAGAATCCTCTGGATACGGCTCTCTAGGGTGATGGAATCAGCAAATGACTCGACTGGTAACAAATATTGTGGCGACTTACCTCTTAGGAGCATGATCGGACGTCTCGTCGGGCTCGTCAACAGCAGGGCAGCAGTCATCTGACAAGTCCTCGATTGTAATGGGGTCCTCGACAGAGTTTCCGTTTTTTGCTATTAATTGCTTTTGGTTCTTGCGTCTGATGACCCTTCTACGATTGCCATTGATGAACCGAAAAAAGTACTTGATCAAAAGGGATGTGAGGCTATTGATGACTGTTAGCGAATGAAGCAAGGAGACAGAGGGGATAGGATACATACATTACTTTATGCTTATGCAGGGTATAGCCTTTCTTATTAGCACGAATGGGTTTCTCGGGTCAGAAGCGATGTCCTTCTCCGTTGATAAACAACCTGGCCAATTTTCTCAAATTTTCTTGACATTCCTTGGATGACCATTCCGAGAGCCTCTTTTCGCTGATTCCCGTATCCGCAAGAAAATTATTGTAGCATTTGTAGCGGGCGTGTTTAAAAGCGTTCACCAGGGGTTTATCGGTATTTGTTTTCCCATATCCAAGTTCTTCCTGAAGCTCCTCTTTGGTTGGAATTTTGGAGGGGTCATCTTCTGGGCTTGCCATGGATGAGATCATTTTTGAGACTGATGATTTCTTTGCTTTGACTGTCCTTGGTGAAGCTCCAGCTCCAGCTCCAGTTCCAGCTCCAGTTGGTTTTGCTGAGGTCGACTTTGCTGGTTTCCTTGAAGTGTTGGTTGTCTTGGAGACCAAAGCTGCCCTTTGTTTTGACTTTGACATAGTGTCTAAAATCATGGTGGAGGTTTGATAGGTATGGTGTTTAACTAGATGATTGCTTCATATGACGCGCTGCATGCGGCGACACTGGGTCTTTCAAGTCTTTTAAATAGAAATACTTGTACACCTCAAACTCAGGCTGGAAGGGCTTTGCCTCTGTTTTTGCTTTTTTGTGACCGCTTAAGCGTTAACAAGGTTAGGTCGTAAGTGGAGGCGGCTGGTGGTGGTGTCTGGCGATTCTACTAGAGGCTGTTGGGGGTATCCCTTAAGTAGTAGTAGTAGTAGTAGTAGTAGTTTGTCGAACTATGAAACTGACGCGATTCTCCAACTCAAGTCGCGTCTTCTTCGTGATTTAGAAAAAGAAAAGAAGCAGGAAAAAGAAAAAGACGAAACAACCTAGAAAGATTAGGTAGCATTGACGATTAACAAGACAAATACTAAATTAATTAGTAGTTGGGTCCCGTTCGTTTATATAGTATAATCATTTAAATGATCAACGAGACAGACCCGGGAAAAAAGGGAAAAAACCAATGGATCGCTAAACTCTGGTCTCTGTGGAGTATACAGAGTAGACCGCCCCTTTTTTTCATTTAATTAATAGAAAGTAAACAAAGCAGAATATGATAATCTGTGATGGCCTGTTTTGTCGATTTTGCTTTTTTCTTCCTTTAATCTCGTCATCGACAAACTGCAGGACATCACGAGTTCACAAACCAATGTTGGATCCCATAATCAAGGTTTAGGTGTGGTAGGTGATAGATCATCGGTGACGAACAAGGGTAACAGTGCAAATTGCTTTTGCATGTAGGGGTTGAACACTCGACACTCGACACTCGACACTGGAACGGTGAGATCTAATCCTTGCTACCTACCGAAAGTGCCCGCAGAGGTAAGGAATTTCAGGGGTTCAAGTCTTCTGCAACAGAATCTAGATGTCTCTTGTCTCGTTACACGTCGGGTTGCAGAAAACTGGGCAGCAATGGGGTTTCTTTATCTTTATCTTTTACCCTTGTTTCTACCCATCTTCTGGTACTGTATCCATAATGTACTGTACGGACGGTAGCTTTCCCCGCAGTCTTGGAACGCGTTTCCTTAATAAAATACTGATATAGTAGCTGGACGGGCACTAATAGTCCACGAATTAACAAGCAAAGATGTATCTGATCTACTATCTATACACTGTTCTAAGATACAAATATTATTAATCTATTTCCCAAGGTATGTTATAAGATACCTTATTTACTGTTCCCTTTACCAGCAATCTTACTACGTATCCTACGCACGTTTGTGGAGATAAAATAGTGCGTGCATGAAGGATTCTAACTACTTCCCGTGTCTTGGTTAGCTCCCGGGACTATGAAGATCGGACACTGTACGGGTAGTTCCATACCGCTGATCTCATGTATCTTAGTAGCTGAAAATACCTGGACAAGATAAAGATACTGTATAGTTCGTGATATAGCCATGTAAACCATTAAATCCATCAGTTAAATACCCTCTATCTCATTCTAAGAAAATGAAAAACAATACATCAAAAAACCGAAAAGAGAAGAAAAAGAAAACAATAAGAGGATCCTCTACCGCACGCTTCAAGCATCAATAATAGGGCCATCCGAAAACTTGGCAAAGTAATTGACCCCTCGCCCCTGCACCACCGACGCCGAAGCAGCACGGCGACGCTGGCTCGTGATGACGTCCAGACACCGTTCTTTGAACATTGCAAACTCCTTCTCACCATCCTGACCCCTTCTGAACTGGTGTTCTTTATAGTCGACACTGCGCCCGAAGCGGAGGTGAAGTGTTGCAGAGTCAATCAGCCTCAGCTCGTCAAACACATTGGCGAGTGATAGTTGGAAGATTGTGTTTGACAACCTAAAGACAGTCCAGACCCCGGCGTGTTCAATGTCGGTCTCATAGATCATTTCGCAGCCTTGGAGGGCTTCTCGCTCTCGTTCGTTGAAATAAAACATGCTGGGGCCACGTTCTCCTTCACTGAGATCTGTTCTCCTAAAGTCGTTTGCAACGTGAGAATTACCCGTCGCTTGGGGAGCAGTCGTTTCTGCCCCTGAATTAGACCGTTCAATCATCTCTCGCTCTCTGCTTGAACCGGCCTGAGCTTGCATTGATGGTATTTCAGGTTGTTTCCCCTGTGCTGTAACAGAAAGGCCAGCTGTGACACGAGATGAATCCTCGACTCCTCCCGCTGCCGCCTCAGTGTCCGCCCGGGCTTGTCGAAATGCAGCAGCCTTCAGAAGCTCTGCAGGAGACTGCTCACTGGTGGATCCTCCCGAAGCCGCGGAGCTTCTGAGATCAGACGATGAAGTTTGCGGCACTTGACCTTGAGCTTGGCCGTTGCTCTGTTGGTCCTGTTGAGCCTCGTTATTGGCCTCGGACGTAGTGTTAGTTCGAGACGAAGCAAGGGGTGAGCTATTGTCAAGAGTTCTCAGATCTTCCTCTGTCGCACAACCCTCCCGGACGACCTGCTTCCTCTGTCGCTTAAGGGTCCGAGGGGCTGTGGGAGCAGTCTCGCTCCCTACTTGTTTACGTGAAGGATTTGAAGAGCCTCCCCTCTTTTTGTTTTGACCAGGATTGGTATCAGAGCTTACTCCGGCCGGTCGTTTGCGGTTCGAGGGTCTCTATTGCGCAAGTTAAACTTCTGAGTTGAAAGACTTCGGTATAGTACTGACAGCAGCCGATGTAGCTCTAGGTGGACCAGGGGGCACTGCCCACGTATCGTTGCTGGGTACGGTTTGGTGGTTGTCTGTAGTATTGAGCGGTTGGCCGTCAATAGCGTCCGGGCTAAAAAGAGATGAGGTGAATAGCTCGGAAGTGGCAGAATCTTGTAGGTTGTTCTCGTCTGGTGGATATCTGCTGAACCGTATCGATATGCCCACGAAAGGGTCGTTGTCTCTGATAGAAATGTCAGAAGGGTTGTTGAAGATGGTAGTGAACTTACGTCGATTTTCCTGGTATGTTTGTGTTTGTGTTTGAGTTTGATGTCATATCCTCGAGGTCTATGGGATTATCGACGGTATTACCCCTATCACCAAATTGGCTGGGCTCGTTCGGAGAATCGTTGACACTTGCGGATTCTTCAGCCTTTATGGGCTGCTGCAAAGCGTCTCGGATAGTTTGAGATAGTTGAATGTTGGGTGAGGTCGACGATTTGGCTCGTTTCTTCTCGCAGGCTGTACGCCAAAAGACTTGGGTCATGAGACGACGTATCCTATTTGAGTGTTAGTTGTGTTTTCCATCAAAACCACTGCGGGACAAACTTGGACGAGTCTCTCTTATAGTTCAGATCTGATCTCCAATCCGGCCAAAACTCAGCCCCCCTAGCCTGGAGAAAGTTCTTGGTCACCTCCAAGAGACCTCTCTGATGGACACGGTTCTTCCACTTGGTTAACTTGAACGCAGGCAGACTGTCGACACTCGACACGAACGTCTTAACTTGTTCGGCGACGGCCTTCTTGAAGGCAAGATCTCGTTCTCCGCCTGGATTGCCGTAGCCGAGTTGTTTGCGTAGAGTGGTCAGTTTGGGGATGGAGGATGTTTTTGTTCTAAAGACTCTTTCGCACTGATCTGGCCCGTGAGCGGGTTTGGTGGTTGATGCCATGGTTTGTGTTTGAGGCAGAGGATAATATATATATATATACTGGTTTTGACGAGAGCATGTATGGGTAATCATATCTATATGTCTATCTGTACGTCCGATGTGTGTGAGTTGCCTTTTGGGTCGGGGACGAGTTTCAAGATCGGTCGATCGAGGCTGTCATGACCTTTACCAGGCGGACCTTAGATCTCTTGGGCGGGATCCGCCTACTGAGCAAGTTGAGGGTCGTATCAACCAGAACAACCAGGACAACGCTGACACTAGAGCTTAGTATCCTAGTCTTCCGATCTCCCCGTTGTCCTGGTTGACTAAACTGCTGCGGATAGAAGCCGGTGGTCTAGAAGGTTGCTGATGGAACGGGGACCATCCGGTACGGGAGCTGCGACAAAGGCTTGCATACTTTCATCCCCAGTACTTCTTGAACACGCTATCTCGATACTAATGAGGTACCGTCGTGAATTCGATCTCCAAGTCGCGTATCTTAGAGTTCCCAACCATCGTACAGGACTGTCCATCACGCTACTCGCAGTAAAGAGCAACTTCTCAGCACCTCAACCAATTTCTTTGCAATCCAATCAACCTTTTACCTATAGAAATAATTCATTTCTACCGTTGAAACATCTATCAGAATTCTTTTAGTAGCCAGTTGAGTACATACGTGTAAACGCCCAAGATCAACTAGGATGTAACCAACTGCATATACAAAAACCAGACGGAGCAGGGGTCCCTGCATTCGACATCTAAAGTGGAAAAAAGGCTCGGATCATAGTCTAATTATTTCTCTACCAGGCTTGCCTGTTCTCTCTTTACTCAGTGTGTGACAATCCCGCTCCTTACTGCGGGCTGGCCGACCAGCCTTGAACCATGGCTTGTCTCTACAACAGCAACCACCTTAACGTCATTACGGCAATACTTTCAGCAGTGGATTACAGTTATGGATGTGTTGATGTTTCATCAAAGAGCAAGAATTAGTAACTCGCCTAAGGATGAGCGGCGTTGCGTTAGGGGAGATCCCATGGACTAGACACCCACGACCCTGGTCCTCGACATCAACTCAATTATACGACGATCTCATCCAGATCTGATAACTTACGTCCAGAAACTTCTCTCAACCTCACCGTGAGCCTCACGGTTTGCCAAGGTACGCAACAAGGCGACGGCATCTCAACACCTTCTGCGGCCTGAAGGTGTCGTTCACCGTCTTTTTCGCCCCCTCTCCCACTCTCTCCCTCCCATTTCCCTTAAGCATTTTTGCTTTTATTTACCGTTACGTGTCAAAGCACAGACAATTCTGACCGTTTTCATACCACACTGTCATCCCTATGTAATCTCTAGACGCGAAAAATTCACGGCCAAGATTGTTTCTTCACAGCAACAAAATTACGCCCCGCTCTCCTGTTTTGTAGTCCTGCTGTGCCGTAATCTTTCATAAAGGGGCAGATAACATCAGTTCAGCTTGCAACGCTGAAATGCTATTGCTACGTCAGTCAGAATGAGTTTACAAAGGATGAACGTCTCTGATAGTCGAGTTCCACTTTTCGGATCACATAGTACCTAGTTCCATGTCATTCCGCCTCTTACTCTGAAAATACAAGCAGATTACCTACACAAAGCCGGTGCTAATAAATCACTTCAGAGATAAACCATCTGAGATAACTACCAGCACAGCATGGTATTCATTGGTATTAGGTCTTAGAAGGAGCCGAAACCTTGCTGGTTGAAGCACAGTCCGTGGTCATAGCTTGTTCCCATCCGCTGTAAAGTCAAAGTCACGTCTGCTGCTGCCATCTCATCGGCATCCCCGTATCATTTCCCGAATAGACCAGCAGTCTCCATCGTCTTGACTTCCCCGGTGACCTTGACCATGTAGTTCAACATACCATAGTACTCCATCGAATCTCAACTGATCCACCGGCTATCTGTCAGACGGTTTCCGCTCGTGAGAGAACCTTGTAGGACAAACTTAGAGCTAACTCCAAGATACTACCCACGATACTCGTTTACCGGTTGTTAGGAACCGAGTCCGTTCCGGAATTAATATTGTTTCGGGACCTGTCATGACTCCACTGGTATAGGGCAGAAGCACAGCAAGGGACAGGGTTACTGCAGGTACCTTGCAGAGGTCGGTATTTGTTGACAGGCTCATGTCTCACTCACAAATGAAGGCTGTTAGTCATCTGCATAAGTTATACAGACTCACAGATATATGCAAGTACCGAGATCACGAGTACGGAAGACCATTACACGAATCGTCTCATCGCTCACAGACATTCGCTCATCTATCTCACTCCAACTTCCATAGGTAGCTACTAGAATATATATGTGGCTTACAATTCCGCTTTAAAGCTGTCCTATAAACTCCCCAGGATTAATCATCCAGCACGAGAAAAGAAGTTCCAGCGTGTGTACCTTTCCTCTCACACCCAATGCAATAGTAGTTGGTTATGATCAGATCTAACATGAAACAAAGCAACCATCGCAAGCTAGATCTTTATTGCGCGCTGGGTCAGGTAGAGATACTCTAAGAATAAAGCGTGGCAAGGAAAGGGAGCCTATTATTAAATACATTTCACGGAAAATGCTCATTCTGGGACACTGCACACACTGATTAGAATGGCAGAACAATAAGTCTTATAGATATTCTTTTTTTATGAGTTAATGTCTTATGGTTTGATCTTTTGCACATTACATTTTTTGCAAAGCTTGAATATGGCAAAACCCACCTCTAAAGCAACCGTCATGGTCTTCAGTAATCATCAATATACTCTCCCTCCTCCTCCCTTCCCTCCCCATACAACACCTCACAAACGCCTGCCAGCGGTATATCCATCACCGCATCCGTTCCTTCACTCCAAATCTCTCTCCATCTCAACCTCCCATCTGCCTGAACCTTTCTCTCTCGATTCCTACTCCCCTTCAATCGTCCCTTAGCATCAATTTCTGCCAATTTTCCCGCCCCATCAACGACAGTCTCCACGCTTGATAATGGCACTGTAAGCATCTCTGTGTTATACGCCGCGAGCGCGACGTAGATGTACACAACCGTCATGACGATAAATGCCGGTATGGCAAGCGCCCACCATCGATTAGGGTAGTAGTATATACCCAGCGCATGGAGGAACGGGGAGGGCAGGTAGCCCCAGAGGAGGTAGATGAGAAAAACTAGGCTGCTGAAGAGATACAGTACGAAGCCGTAGTACTCGTACGTCGGCACCTTTGGCGCAGCACGAGGCACAGGTGCGATGGCATCATCATCAGATGCATCTGGTGTCGTTGGCCTTGAAGGTCGTAGAAGAGAAGTAAGTGATGGCGAAGGGGGTAAAGGCGTAGGTGGTCGCCCGTAAAATGGAGGTGCGAAGAGGTTTTGTGATAGTTGGCGAGGGGGAGAATCTTCTTCTCCTGATGAACTTTCCAAGTGGGCGTCTGAGAGGATCTCATCCTCTTCATCTGAGCTTAAAGACATACTGGCCGGGTTCGTTGTTGTTTTGTGATATCAAAAGGAGGTGTTCAATTTGAATGTCAAAAGTTGATGTGACGTTACTCGATTGAGATGAATTGACCACTGAGGGTGCGTGAGTTAAGGCCAGGTACCCGCTGCATGATCGCTAAGGATTTATTCTAGCGGCTCGTTTAGCACCTTCAGGCTACCCGAAAGCTTAACTGTACTGCCTAAGAAGAGTTTACATTAAAATGCATCATCCAATATTTAGAAAATGAGCATTCTAGGATTCTTCAATAACGACCATTTTCACTCATTAATCTATAGATACTGTTGCAGACCACAACTACAGATTTAGTCAAGCCGATGCACCGTTACTATCCAAGAATTCATCATCATTAATCCGCATCTTTAATCTCTATGTATACACTTTGTACAAGAAACCTTCTCTTAATTATCTCGAATTACCCATCAATCGGGCATCTATACTCCCTCTCAACCCCAACCACTTCCCCGTTCTGCTGCTTCTCTTGCAACTCATCTAGACAGCTCTGGTGGTAAATGTGCCGACATGCCAGCACCACCAATGGTCCCATGGGCTGGTCCTTATTATTGCTCACGCTACTGGTAGCGTTCGCTTCGATGAGCATGCTCGAGGGTCTCGTGTCGACTCCTTTACCCTTAGCCTTGAGGTCTGTTTCGCCAGCGTCACCCTTGGCACGTTCCGCTGCATTGGCCTGTCTTTCCTTCCTTCTCTTTTCCTCAATGGCTTGTTTATCTTCCCATGCTTCAAACACCGATGTTCCAGCCACCCCAGGACCCCAAACCCTTCGACTACATGCTTCGCAAGTTGATCCTCTTGGTCTCCAACCACGTTGACGGAGCTCAACTGATTGGTTGACGTTGACAAACAGGCTGCGTTCCAGGAGACGATTCGATAACTTCAGGATTGACTCTTCGTACGCATACGCCGAGAAGATTGATGCAAGTACACCTCGTAGATCGGCCAAGTTCGGCGATGAAGCAGCTGCTTGTGTCAGAAATGCTCGCAAGATACGCAAGAATGACAGGTTGGAACTGGCGTTTGATAGCAATTTTGATCCTGAGTGCGAGGTTGTCTGACTAGACGTTGTGGTGAGCAGAGCCGTGAATGTGTGCTGGACTAGTGACCGCAGAAGAGCTACGAGCTTCTCCTCGTCGAACTCGTCGTCACTGGTGTTTTGCTGAGCAGCAGTACTTAGTGCAGGTGACAGATTCTTGGTGATCTGCACGCATGCGTCGATCAAGCTCAGCCAAAGAGCTTCATCGGGAGAGAGTGTCTCGACTGCTGACTTGGGCGCCTTTTGGACCATCTTTGACTTCTTGGATGAAGACTTGGTCTGGCCTTGACATAACCAAATACCAACGTGGACGTACTTCTGAAGACCTTCAAAGAGGTCCTCTGCGGCATAGCCAAGACTTGGTCCCGAATGTCGTTCCTCAGCGCCAGTCAAGAGTCCATGCATGGCCGATTCTAGGGTCTTAAGATGCTTTACAAGGCGTTCCATGGCGTCCTTGACTTGGCCTTCCCGAGCCATCAACACCACAGCTGCGTCAATAACGCCAGTCTCTTCCATAGTAGGTAGTAGCTTGTCCAATCTCAAGTCGGTCGACTGTACAATACCAACATAATCTGAGACATGAGATGGCTCAAACTGACACATGAGCTGCACATATTGCTCAATCAAATCACGAGCAGTAGCCAACTTGGTCTCTGTTGCAGGCTCTTCTGGCTCCAAAAGAGTCTTAAGATACGTGTGCTGCAATTCTGGTGCATCCTCTGCCGAGTCGACAATGTGCTGGTGAAGGTCCAAGTCTTGTTCGGCAAGTGTTTTTGCTGTGAGTGAGGGCTCAAGCTCGAGTAGATCTCGCGCATGCTCCCTGACGACCTTGAGTACCTCTTGGGTCTGGCGTCCAGTAAGTTCTGTCTGAGGTCGCAGACATTCGCGAAGACAGTCGAACACCAACTCCTGATCTTCTGGGTCCTCAAAGTAGGTCTCTATAAGGTTGCCATATTGCTTGTCTGTCTTGTATATGCGCTTCAGAATGCGATAGAAACCCGCCTTCTTGAACAATGGCATCAAGTCAGGCATGTCTGAAGGATGGTAGACAGAAAGGAGATACTCAGCACTAAGCTGCGCATCCTCCGCCAAGTCCTGACCTGGATAGTTGCAGAGTCCAGTCAAAACACGCGACAGTGTTGTGCCTGAGAAGAGCAGATATTGTGGGAATTTGGGAAGGTTTCGTGCGATGAACATGTCAAGATAGATTGTATCTTCCGGCGCAAAGTCGTTGGGATTCATAACATCCAACAAGATAGACAGCACATACTGTCGGTTGATGGTTTGCCCAAAGATCTGCTCCTCGGGCAAGTCACCCTTGGAACTGCCATTCATATGATGATCATTTGAGTCATTCAAGAACGAGTCCTCGAAAGCCTCGTTTAATGCGCTCAGGAAGCTAGGAGCATCCAGCTTCAGGATCATACGAAGATATGGGAATGACGGTTGCGAATCGGAGTTAGGAATGGTACAGAACTCATTCCCACTGCCTTTGGGCCACGTTATTGTTCTTCCTGAGAAGAAGAACCAGTAAATTTCAGACTTCGCCCTGGTGGCCATCTCTTCGGTCATCGTCTGCTCGTTCGGATACACTCTTCCGGTCAGCGTGTAAGAGAGGTAGGGAAAGATCTTGAAGGCGTTGATGCTGAAGAAATCATCTGCTGGGTTGTTCGCTGTGAAGTCACCATCAACCATGAGAGGGATGAGCAGCGAAAGGAGATCGATCATAGGCGTGATATAGTCGCCAATGCCTTGGTTCCAGACGTAAATAAGTGCATCGTACAAACTGTGTTGTTTGCACAGCAGAGTAGTCTGGTCTAGATCCAAGGTTGCCGTCTCCATGTGACAGATCATCTCCTCAAGTCTACTCTCCCAGCCACGGCTAACGTAATGCTGAACCAGATCTTTGACAATAGTTGGTGGTACCATCGTGATCGTCTTCTCCAGGATGCAGGGCTCGAGGCACTCAAGGAAAATGCCAGCGATATCAGCGTCTTCATACCATTCATACATCTCGTCAAAGAGAAAATCTTGGTTGTCGACGGCTTGGCAAGCTGTGAAACATGTATCCGCTAATTGTTTCATATGATCATCGTCGTAACTCTCGGGGTCCTTCTGGCGCTGGCCAAAGGCGTACTTCAACGAAGCACTTATGATCTCCATAATCTTGTCACGAACCATAGTGTGTCGTAGAGAAGAATCTTCAGGCAGTCCAACAGTGAGTTTGTCAGCATCGCCAGTATAATATGAGGTAGCAAGCTGGATGGCACCGAGGTAGTCGCCATTCTCCATCATAGCAATAAGCCTGTCTGCCCAGTTCGACAGTGCGCCGATCGACACTTCATTAAAGCCAAGGATAAATATCCTTCCCTTATATGCTTTGAAACTCATGTAGAAGGCATCAGCTACGACTCCATGCATAGATGGATCGTTCTCATCATGTTGCTCCACGAGCGTATGAAGCTGCTCAGAGAACAAGTCTGCGTGGTAAATGTACTTCTGTACCAGATCAAATCCTTCAGTCATGCGCATGCTTCTATCTTCAAGGACAATCATCCGTTGGGATATAGTAAGGACGGCCAGAACGGAACGACTGAGCCATTGAACGGCAACAATAGCCTCTTCGCACTTCCATCGATTTCGTGCTTTGAACTTGTAAGATGGAGGCTGGTCCTTGTCTTCACGAGGATATTCGTCCACGTCTAGCACGGTTAAGATGTTCGACCAACAGTAAGCAAGCTTCACCTTTGAGATATCACTTCCAGTATGAGGGTCTGGTACTTTTAGCTTTACAGCTGGGAACCATGCCAAACACCCTGTCATGGCACTGTGAGGGGGAACATCTTTAGGGCGCGCCGACTTATGCTGAGTTTGCGCCACGGGGGTAGTCGAAACGATAACGAGGAGATACGGCGTGAGCATAGCTGTCAAGCCAAGGGTATCTGTTGAACACTCAACATTACCCAGGGGCAGAGGTGCAAACGCAAGAACGGTACTGGGCTTGACCGTTTTCCCTGCTGGTAATGGCGCATCCGGATATCGACCAAGAATTCGATGAGTCCTCACAGTCCTTCCAAGTGCACCTGTTCCTCTGGTTGCCAGATGCGAGAAAGCCATCCCCCGGTTATCTGCTGAAACAAGTGCTGTATGACGAGTTCCCAAGAAACCGAGGTGGACGATAGCAACATCAGGCACGTGTCCATCTACCGTACGATTCTGTAGCTGCGCTGGTTCTAAATGCGGTATTGTTAAAAATGGTCTTGAGGCACGACTCGTGTCCCAGGTAAAGATGTTGCCGCTCGCATGACCTCCTGCAATTGTAGTATGGTCTGCAGATATCGCAATAGCGGTGATTGGTCCAGATTCAACGGCTATATCAAGTCAGTTTATACCCTCCAGGAAACAGCTTGCAGCCTACCTTTTGTTCCTGGTCCAATAATCATTTTCAGGTTTTGGTTATAATCAAAAACCAATATTATACCTTTGGATGTTCCGAGTACTATGTTCGCGGATACGGCGAGACATGTAGGCGACCCAAAGTTTCGTTTTCCTGCTTCAGAGAATGCGTGACCATTGAGTTTCCGTAGCTTTGTCCAACGAACAACTTCCCATGGTGGAGTTGGTGTTTCGAGGTCGTTCTGGTCGAGGAGGAATTGGGAGCTTAGAGAGACATTACGGCTGTGACTGGAAAGAAAGGGAACTGCCGGGGATGACGAGCGAGGCGTATGGATATTTGAAGAGGAGGAAATTCGCGATTGGAATCGTCGATCGAATGGTCGGAAGGATGGTGAAGGACTGCTCAGGCCAGGACGAGAGGCTACAGATGGGAGAATGCTGCTTCCAGGAGAGGAAACAAATGATCCCTGCGATAGGTTAGAGTATGCTTCGAGATCCAGCAATTGGTATTCGTACTTGAACAGATGGCGTGTCGTCAGGTCCCGACAACACCGAATCTATCGGACTCCCAACTCGCTTTGGTAGACCATGCAATGAGCTTCCACCCAAAGAGCTCACATCCGAGCTATCTTGATGTTGCTGTTGCATAATCTCGCGATATCTATTCCCAACGGACCCGTTTCCTATAGGGACAGATGTGAGATGACGGTCAGGTCCGTCACTGTCCTCGAGCGAACCATGATCAACACCATCAGCACCAGCCTCCTCGGGCGCATCATTTATCGAGTCGTCGCCATTGTCCAAGCCCACGTCTCCCGGGAGCGACAAGTCTTCTGGATCGGCCATTGCTCCATCACTACATGCGCAAACACTACCGCGTCGAGGTCATGGCACACTGCGCGGTATAAACGGGCTGGTGGGTTGGCGATAAGGCAACAGTGCGTTTAGCCGTTTCTGGAGCTTGGTATAAGATGAACCAGGTCGGAGGGGCAACCAAGACACGGCTGGAGAGGTATGTACGCTTTGGAATGCTGATATTCTTAAAAGCGTTCACAGGGTATCAGCTTGTCACGGCTCGATAGTTGTTGAAAAGGAAGTAATTTAAGAGGTATCGCGCAAGCTGAAAGCTATAGCGAGCTACGTAGGTCAATTAGTCCGTTACGCAGCCCCATCGTGGAAGGTTGGCAGCGGCGCAGTCCAGCACACCTGCCCAGCGTCTCCGTACGGGGCGGCCCGGGGATTCTCCGGGCGGTCTGCGCTGTGACGTCTTTCCCCGATGGAAGGTCGCATTTGCGACAAGAAGTTCCACTGTGAATCAACAAAGCTTCTTGAATACTACACTCCTCATATAAACTGAAACACCATAAACAGAACAACTCACCAACGAGAAGTCCTCGAAATGTCTTCAATTGGACCGCAACTACCACCACATCTATCAAAACGCAAACGCACGCCAGACGATGAAGAGTCCAGCAACAGTAAACATCGGCGCAGCGAATCTCCAGCAAAGAACACAGATGAAATCGACCTCGAAGACTCAGACGATGATTACGGTCCCAGCGCGCCTCTACCTCCAAAAGCGCCCATCGGCCCAGCTCTACCAACTTCCAACAAAGACGAGATAGATCTCGAGTCAGACTCAGACTCTGATACAGGCCCAGCACCACCAAGACCTACAGTCGGTCCAGCACCACCGCCAGCCGACATCGCACAACGCCCTGCTGAGTCTCCCGATTCAGATTCAGACTCCGAGGATGACTACGGTCCTGCGCTGCCAGGCTCATCCAAAGCGAACAAACCCACCATAGGACCCCAGCTCCCAGTTGCTGAACCAGCACAGCAGCGCGACTCATGGATGCTGGCGCCCCCTGAAGCATCAGGCTATTCAGAGCGCGACCCTACCAAAATGCGCAATCGAAAATTCGCCTCCAAACCAGCATCATCATCTGGGCCCTCAGCTGTCTCGACAATATGGACTGAAACCCCTGAGGAGAAGCTAAAGCGACTACAAGACTCCGTGCTAGGACGCGCCGACAAAGCTGCAGAGACAGAGCCTAAGGGTGGAAAGTCGCGGGAGGAAGAGGAACGGAATCGCAAGATTTCTGCCAATATTGAATCTCAAAGAGGCAAGAGTCTATATGCGGAGCACCAGGGACGAAGAGAAAAGTCCGGACAAAAAGTTGAGGAGGAAGACGACCCCAGCAAGAGAGGATTCGATAGAGAGAAGGATATGGCACTGGGTGGCAAGATCGGTACAGCGCAGAGGAGGGAGTTGATGAACAAGGCCGCCGATTTTGGCGGAAGATTCTCAAAGGGATCTTTTCTATAGACATCAACTGGTTTTCATACCAGCATGTACATTATATAACATGAATGTTTACATATCGTGTTTACTCATAATGAGGAGCGTATGATGGAACAAATGTTATTTGTGCCACCTGACTATACTATAAAGACCCAAAACCAAGCTAACTCCGCCGCTCCGTTCCCATCCAGCTGAAAGCCATGTTTTCTAGCCCAATGCAAATACAAATATCTGTCCCACAATAGACAGTCCCCAAGAGTACCAGTAAATCCTCGATGTGAGCAGCCCACGCTGCCCTCGCCTTCACCAGGCATGACCCACGATCGCAACCTCAAACACCATCATCAGGGGTATATATAGCTCGTCGAGCGTTATACAGCCTCACTCTCTCCCAGTTATACAGCTACTGTCGCTCCATGTGTATATCATGCGGTATAAATCAAATGCCGTGTCGTCAAAAATCAATTCCTTTATAATGTGAAGATTCGAGACGGTTGTGCCCAGCATATCATTGTTGGTAAGGAATGAGAGAAAACCATCGCTAAAAAGATTCGTGTCGTTACGTAAGAATAAAAATTGTGATACACATCACTATGAGGCGGCCGGTGTTCGGTTTGCCGCTTCAAGTTGTGAAGGTGTTACATTGTCAGGAGTATTTTGGTTGTCCTGTGCTTGTCGCCTTCGACCAAATCGTAAAGCACCTCGCATAGATGAGAGAACACCGCCATTTGATGTTTGAGTAACCTCCGGTGTCTGCTGGGTCTGCTGGGTCTGCTGGGTCTGCTCAGTCTGTTGGGCAGGGTCCTGAGCAGCTGGAGCGTCGCCTGTCCTGCGTCGACGACTGGCAGGAGCTGGGGTTTCGTTCCTGTCGTTGCGAGAACCTCTGATCCATGCAGAGCGAAGAGCAGCAGGCATACCAAAGACTGGGTTGTTTCTGGGGTCGAAACTGGATCCGTTGTTCGCACCAGCCTCGTTGTTGGCATCAGGGGCAGGACGAGGCTTGGGAACATAGTAATCGGCCTTGCAGAGCGGGCAGCAAGCTCGTCGACTGGTCAACCAGGGGTCAACACAGACGGCGTGGAAAGCATGTCCACAAGTCAATCCGCGAACATCGTCGTCGTCCTCAAGTGTATCAATGCAGATAGCACATGTATCACCGGGGCCTTCGAGACACTCGGGGGGCAGAGCGCCGTCGATATGGTCGTCCTCATCATCGGTATCCTCACTAGAGACTCGCTGAAGCCGGGCGTTGTTTGTAGGCTGATCATTTGGAGTTTGTCCATCGGTTGTAGTCTTGGGAGCCTCCTTTGACTTTTCGGCCTCAGCAGCCGCGGCCGCAATGGAAATCTCGGGTGCTGATGTTTCGGTAGCGTTGCTCGCAGTGGTGGTCTCTCCCTGTCCATTCGATTTGGGTACGTTGGTGGCCGGTTGTTCGTCAGTTGAGTCGCGAACCTTTGCAGAAAAGTCTGGCACGATTCCATCCGCCTCACGAATACTGTTAGGTCGAGTGGGAGGTGCAGAAACGCCGCCAGTAGTAGGAAGACCCTCCTTTGCACGATCGGAAACCCAGGTCTTGTACTTCATCATCGGGAACTTGTCGTTGACCTCGTCCATAGTCATTAATTTCTTCTCGCGACGTCTGCGATGAGGTCGAGGCATGTTTTCGAGGGGCATAGGCTCGCCATCCTCGTTCATTCGCATTTGTCGGTTTCGGGCGTTGTATCGGAAGCAGTATTTAACACCAACGATGATCCTGAGATTGGGTGTTAGAGCCATTTAAAGACATGATCCAACCATCGCCATGCAACGAGATTGAATATATGATCGTGAACAATTTCTCACCATAAGTTTGTGAAGACGACACCAAAACCTAAAGCGACAAAGAAAAGAAGAGGCGAGTTTGACCCGCCTCCATTGTCTTTTCTGTCATTGCCGTTATCTGTTGTGGTCTCGGCGGCGGCCTGAGAAGTCGTCGACGAAGGGTCTTCAGCGGCGGCAGCGCGAATCACGACGTGAGAAACCTCAGTCAGTATCTGGCTAACGGCGACCATCTTTAAAGTGTGGCAACGGCCAGATTAAATGTTGAGCAGTTGGAAGTTGGCTCGAATTGAATCGCGGGTTACCGTGCGGGTACCATGGGCCGTTCAAGAAGAAACTCTTGCGGTTGAAGGGCGGCGGCGGCGGAAGAAAGGCAATTAGCAAAAATCGCCAATCCTGATCAATCGCCCTTGAAGTTTAAAAAAAGGGCGCCCTTGTCCGATTTCTCCTTCTTTTTCACGGAAGAAGAAAAAGTAATACTCGATTATGAGCGAGTATGTAGTTGATGAGGTGAGAATAGAATAGCCGGCGGAGGACGGAGAGGTGGAGTGGCAGGACAAGGCAAGAAGCAAGGCAAGCAAGGCAAGAGAAGAGACAGAACAGATCCAACGGCAGGTGCGAAAGTGGCCGCGTAAAGGATAAAAAGAGCAGGAAGGAGCCCAGAGGAATGGGGGAACGGGGCGAGCGAAACCGGGCCGGGGGCTAGCGATACAGCGTGATTGGCTGAGTCGATACGCTGTGTGGAGTTGACGCCGTAGGGAACACTGTGAGGTGGTACCTTTGCGACGGCAACGATTGGGACAGAAGGACACAATAGGCTGGAGAAATCCTGGAGAGGGCCTAGGATGAGCTGGAGCTAGTGGATAAAGTGACCTGAAAGAGGTAGGTCACCCCCAATTGGAGTATCGCGTTAGACTTGACAGGGGACCAGGTGTGATATGTCTGTGGCTGGAGGTGATCAAAGCCTACAGTAGATGGTGTGGTGAGATGGTGAACGGTGCTGTGAGGTTGGGTGGGTGGTTGGCTCGGAAAGGCGTCCCGTTTTGGAGATTGCGAGACCTTTCTGATAGATATCGCGATAGTTGATAGTGGTGGTGAGTCTTGAGGATGTCGAGTCCCGGATTAGGAGAAGAATGAGATGATGTGCTCGTGATTCAGAGTCTGAGATTAGGTAGACAAAGGTGCTATGATGTTTGCGACAACCACGAATGAATGAGCAAACGAACTGGTGGTCTGTCCTTTGCAGATGGAGACCTGCGGTGTTTATAATTGATAGGAACTCTTTAATATCGTGACAGGTCAAATGGTTTTGAGTCTAACGGGCCCATCCGTTTAATATTGCCCTGATACTGTTGCAACTGCGCGATAGAGAAATGCTTTTTCTGTTCCGTATTCTCGGGCGTATTTGCCCATTACGCTAGCGCCTGACATCTTATCCATCGCTGACAGTCGTGGCGCAGTCCGCGGGGTGAAAGAGAGACCTGACCTGGACCTGGACCAAGCGCGGTGGAGTTTTGAATTCACAGAAGCTGTGAAAAGCACGGTTCTCTGACCAGACCAAGGGTTTTCTCTTTGAGATCTATTGCTGGTTTTGAGACAGGGCATAGCAGGGCATAGCAGGGCTGGGCAGGGCTGGGCAGGTTTGAGAGATGGGACGAACGGGAATGCTAAGGTTAGGATTAGATTCAGGGCCCAAGAGTTTGGTACTATTAGAGGCTGTGACTTGCTATCATTTCACATTTATGGTTTCATATCTGTTAGTTTATTTAACCGTCAGCAGTAGGAATAAGCCAGGATCCATTCAGCTATTCAAGCGTTGAAGTTGACTGCCTTAACTTTACAACAGTTGCCATAGCTCTAACGCATCTCCCCAACTGACGGCTTGAACCACTGATCTTCAAAGTTCAGTCACGATAAAAGAACGTGTTGTTTATTTATTTACTTTTTACATTCTCGCAACTGTGCCTTGCTTTTGAAGGCCCAATACTTTGACCGGGTCAATTGACAAGCATCTGAGCGCTTCCCACCGAAACGTCTCCACTTGTCGCCGACTCAATTCGTCTCAGACCGTCCCGCAACTCAACTCCTAGTTTCTGTTTTCTTTGAAGCGCTCCACTACGATCGTCATCGACAAAAGGAAGTAATTAATGCGAAAAGGAAAACAATTCCTTCTCTGACCGTATAACTTTATCCTGGATTTGGAGGCCTTTCATTAAAAAGGGGTCTTACTGCGGCTGACAGCTGAGACCCTGTCCTGCATTCCGCTTAGTAACGCCCAAAAGTCTAGACAAGCGGCACAGCTCAGTCCACGATCTTGATGAGCCTGACCTGTAGGAGGACGCGTTCCGAAAAGCTTGGCTTTTTGGATAGTGGCTGCGAAGGTTTACTGGTACTTTAGTTCAGCGTATTGAGTTGTGCCTCTGTACGCCTCAGTTTCACGGTGAACCCGAAAAACAGGATAAACAATTAGTTCTTGAGCGAGTGATACTGGAAGAATGATTAGAATATTAGGAGTTGAAGATGTTCCTGCAGTTGCGCAGTGATACGTGGTATAGCTGTGTCATTGTATTACTGAGGTCTTGATTGATGAGTGGTTATATCTCTCGTACTCTCAAACCTCTAAAACAGGCTTTAATGACATCTGTCTCAGAACAGCCAACGACAAAGTTGAATAATCAAAACAATGCCGCGTTCGTGATGGATTAGTCTTTGAGCTAGGTCTTGGCTGGCCTTCATTGAAGCAGCCTCAAGCGATGCTGAAACACATTCGAGAGAGATATATCCTGGCAGCGAATGCGATGAATCTTTAGTGGAGTGAAGGAGAAGTACTCTACAGTGCTCCTCTTTAAACTCTCACACTGCCCCTTAGCGTCGATGTCTGGCGCATCTTTGGGGGCAGGGATGCCTGTAGTGTAGTGGATAACGCAGCTGCACCCCGTCCTCTCTGGCGGGTCTTGGCTTACTCGCTATCGTCTTGGCTGTGGCGATTGGATTGGCTTTAGTTTCCTAAATGCCTCTCACTCAGTCTGCATTAACCAGAAACTGACAACAAAGGTCAGCGGGGTTTGAGCCTCAAACCAGACCGGAATCTGCGGGAGGTTCGGCTGCAACGGGATTTCACCTGTCACTGTTTACTTATATAAATAACGAGTTGGGATTGTTTATTGTTTCTATTGAGTTTACCGCATTACGTATTCGTCTCTTCCGCACATCCCGGTACGCACTTTAATTGTTGAATATCAATGGGGCTATGACGCAGTTATTGAAACCTCACCTTAAAAAAGAGCCTGACTCTTTGACTCTGACTGAGAGAGATACAAATAAACCAGTCAGACGACCATGGGCTCAACCAAAAGATCCACGTCAGATCTTCAGTTATTGCTAAATCCCGGCAATTCCCATGATTGTCTTTTCCTCAATTGTTTCTCGACTGCCGAGGGATGTCACAACATCAACTTGCAATGGGCTATGTAAAGATATCCCATGTAATTCTTGACTCTTGACTGTTAATTACAAATACCCATCAAAATCTATGATGTCGATATATCTATCTATGCCGAGGCTATGGTCTCTTGGCTCTCTCATATCCCCAGATAATATGATGATTTGCCTCATGGTCGGCATCATAGACATGATAGTCTCAATAATGATTGAACATGACGCTATTGACCGTTTTTTTTCTTCTTATGATAGACTGAGCACGGATGGACCCTGACTCTTGTAGTTTCAAGCACCTTAGTCAGACTTGACGATCACAGCCTTGACTTTCGGTAGCTGTCGACACTACTTCACAGCCTCAGTTTTCGTCAACGAATAACCAGAAGCCCCAGGCATCAAGTAGACTTTAGACTAGAGAGCGGCTGACTGTTCCCGCTGCGTCGTCACCAGATCTTCCGTCGCCTTCCTGTCCTGTCCTTTCTCAGCTTGGCTTTTGTCTTGGCTTTTTGGTGGTGTCTGCTAGCTACTGTGAACTATCGAATGGCTTCATGGACCTGACCTGACTTAAAAGATCCCGGGTGCCACCCCCGCTTCCTGTAGTAGAAATGGCCTGGTCGAGATGCATATACTGATCCCCTCCCATCTCCCCTCTCCTCTTTGGACTCCATATCATGGGGTATCCTGGTGGAGGTGGTGGTGTTAGATCTGGTTCCGAGGTTGACCACCTGTCACTGCATTTGCTTTAACCGCTTTCCAGTGTCTTGGTAGCAATATGCCTTCAACATAGACAACATAATATCTCAAGAAATCACTGTAAAAGTCATTAATGCGAATCGTAAATAGGTATTCAATTATCAATCGTACTTATTCAGCCAACCAGAGTCCTCCCTCGGTTCTCCACGTCGGTCTTCCGAAATAGGTAGGTTAAACTTTCTTAGTCTGCCCCACGCCAAAAATGTTGCCTTTCTGCAGAAGAGAGACCCAACAGTCACCGACTAGATCATCACTGTAGGCTCAACCACAACTGGAGTCTTCCCTAACAAAAAACAACACGCAGAAATACCTCAAATATGCCTCCTACAAAGCTCCCCGACTCGGGAAATCCCCTGTAAGTTAAAGTGGCGGTGCTTCAACTCGCTCTCTTCTACCCCGGTGCTTTCGAGGTGGAGAGAGTATAGAGCAACCCATTCGAGTCAGCTCCGACCAGTGAAAGAGTGTGTGTGGGCTAATCTTTGGCTGGTTGTTTTTACAGTGTGTTTTTCGACATTACTATCGGAGGTTAGTCTATCCTGTTTCCCCCCTCCGAGGACGGAGCATACCATCGCTTCAGAAGTGAGGCTATTCCCAGTGATCGACGGCAGCACAACGATGCTGCTGTCGATATCACTACTCACTACCATCACATACACACTTGATATTGTTCCTCAATAACACATACAGGTGAGCCCCTCGGCCGCATCACCTTTGAACTCTTCAAGGATGTTGTACCCAGAACAGCAGAAAACTTCCGCCAGTTCTGCACTGGCGAGAGCAAGAACCCCGTCGGCCGTCCTCAAGGCTACAAGGGCTCCAAGTTCCACCGCATAGTAAGTCTCCCTTTCTGATCTCCGACCTGCAAACTAACCACATTCAGATTCCAAACTTCATGTGTCAAGGTGGTGACTTCCTGAACGGCGACGGCACTGGTTCTACGTGTATCTGGGGCTTCAAGTCCTTTGAGGATGAGAACTTTACGTTGAAGCATGACCAACCCGGTCTTCTCTCCATGGCTGTACGTTATTTGTTCTTTTGTTGGTGATATTATGCTAATGAGTGTCAGAACGCTGGACCAAACACCAACGGATCCCAGTTCTTCATCACCACAGTTCCTACACCCTTCCTCGACAACAAGCACGTTGTCTTTGGTAAGGTCTTCGAGGGTATGGACGTGGTCAAGAAGATGGAAGCTACAAAGACTGGCTACCGCGGCAAGGATGTGCCGAATATGGACGTGGTCATCTCCCAGTGCGGTGAGATGTAAGTACTTGCATCTTACTTGGTGTAACCCGTTCCTGGGATTCTCGATGGGTCGGTAGCAGATATGAGACCATTGGAACACGATCGAGGAAATGGAGAGGCCGAGATCTGGAACAGGATAGATACCCGTCGTAAACACAAATCTCCATGTGCCCCTTACTCTGTCGGCGCTTTTCATCCCTTGTGTCACGTCACACTGAACTCGTGAGTTAGATTAAGTGCAGCGTGAACCATGGCAATGAACCAACATACAATGTTACAGGGTCTCCTACGTTCTCCTTGTATGTGTATGTGTCGAGCCAACTGCCGAGATGACCACATCACAAGTTCATCAAACACAATCATAAAGACACAGCAAACACGTTTCACTTCACAAAGGCACACACAAATCGCGACGAACTGTTTTGAAATTTTATCAGGATCGAATTTTGTCCTCCCTAGATCCCTTTCCCCCGAAATGAAATGCTCCCGTACCAAAAAAACCAGTAAAAGCAAATGCACCATGCTACGTAAATTCATGTCCACATATCCGAGCCGTAAACGAAAGACCACGCCACCAATCCCGACTCCCCCCTTTCCAAAAGGAAGGGAAGTGGGTGGTGCGCGCGTAAATTTCAAGTGGTATCATACCCTTTATATCCAACGCCGTTGAATGCGACCGGCGCCCCTTTTTTCATGATGTGTTGATCCTTTGCCTGCATCGGTGAAGATGAGGAAAACACAAACCCGTCTATATATACTGTGAAAGAAAGACGTAAGGAAACGACGCCCCTTGACGGGGATATAGGAGTCAAGGGGTTGTGAAGGTTGGGCAACCTAAAAGTTGCCAAAGACCCAGTTCCGGCGGCTGCGGAGGAATGGCGTTGGGATAGGAGGGCCATCACCCTGAGGCTGAGTTGGAGCACCTTCGTTGGCAGGAGGTTGTTCACGGAACTCGCCACCGGGGAACGTGGGTTGAGCAGGAGGAGCATTGGCTTCTCCAGTAGAGGAAGGTGTGTTTATATGGGTGACAATGGTCTTAATCACCGTGGAGGGCTGCGGCTGTTGCGGCTGGTCACCTCCAGTGGGCTGTTCCTTGGGTCGCGTAGTGTAGAGTGTCTCATAGACAGTCGAAGCAGTAGGCGGAGTAGGCACAGCATCAGAGTGGCCCCTGGTCTTGGTGACAAGGGCAGTAGTCGTGAGGGTCTTGGTGCTGACCTCTCCATCCACAGGCTCAGGAGACACAGCGGGGAGAGACTCAGTAGGAACCGTAACATATACAGTGGAGATGATGGGAGAAGGCTTGACAGTCGCAGTGACAGTCACGGTAGCAACATTGTCGCCGTTACCAGATCCTCCGTCCGAAGGTGCGGGAGCGGTGGGCTGAGCAGGCTGAGAGGGGGATGAAGGAGCCGTGGGAGGGGGAGCATCACCACCCTTGCCGCCGTCAACGTCGACTTGAAAGTTGGACCTCATCTGCTCCTCAATACCGACAGAGTAAATGTTCTGATTTTCGACGTACTCAAGGATGGTCTGATCCTTGGCGGCGAAGGACTCAGAGCCAGTGATCTTGATGTCAATGACACTCGAGTAGCTTTCGTTGCGCGCGATAGCATCCATAGTGAAGCCGTTGGGGACCTTGTCTCCACGCATGAAGGAACCAGCCCAGGGGAACTTTCCATTCTTGGTGGCTTCCATGTCGATCTTGTCGGCGTTCAGATCGGGCCAGTCCCAGTACCAGTAGATGGTGTAGATGTCACCCGCCTTGAGGTCGGTAGGGAGCTTGAGATCAGACTGGCAGGCAAGCTCCTTCTCGTGGAGTGCTCCCTGGTCCTTGAACTCGGCGGAACGTCCGGTGCTGAGCTGACCACCGTTGGGCTGGTAGCACTGACCATCGTCATAGTTGCGAGTAGCGATGAGCTTACCACGCTTGTCACCACCGGTGCCCTCCTTGTTCCAGCGAAGGTGAACATCGAAGAGCTTCTCCTCGTCCTTGGGCTGAGTGGTGCCGTAGAAGTAGATAGTGCCGCGGTTCTTGGGCTTGTTAGGCTGGTTCTCGGGGAGAGTGGTGTGGCCATTCTCAAGGTGCACAATAGCAATGTAGTCACCAGCAGCGGCTTCAAGCATGGGAAATTGAGGGTCCTTTTCGAGCTTGAACTTGTTCAGAATCTCCTCACCAGAGTAAGCGGGCTGGCCTGCCTGAGGGAGAATATTCTGAGGGATCGTGTCGGAAAAGGGGGGGTTGGTAGAATCGCGAGGCACGAAACCACGAGGGTATCCCATTTTACCGATCATGGTGCCATTTCGAGCGAGTTTGGAAGCCCACTCGGCCCAGGAGTGAGCCGAAGCTGGCGAGATGAGGGTGCTCCCCGCGAGAGCGAGGCCAGAGGCGTGAAAGAACTTCATGTTTGCGAATGTTCTCGTTGTGTAGATTCTTTAGTGATGTTTTTGTAATTGCGGATTGCAAAGTAATCGAAGCTGATTTGTATCGAAATGATTTTCAAATAATGATTTTTGAAAAAAGGAGTGTTGTTAGAAAGTGAACTCTGGAAGAGAGAATGAATGCGTCGCAATATATGCGCAAAGGGGTGGAAAGAGTGAAGCCTGTCACTTTCGATTCTTGCTAGTGCTGTATTGTTTATTGTGAATGAGAGAAAAAAACACAATTGTTGTGCGGGTGAACAGGCAACAGGCAGCGATTCTCCTTTGAGCGTTGAGGTTGACAGCTGGCGAACACTGGCAAGCTGTGTTAGCGGTGCAGGTTATTAGGGGAACAAGTAGTGCCTGAACACTTACCACTAAAGATAATGTAAGAGTTGCGATAAAGAAACTGAAACTCTTGCAATCAATAGTGATTGGTTATGTTTGACTTAAACGATGTTTGTCGTTGATGGAGTGTTCGGTTGTGATGTGGTGAAGTAAAGATCCTCCGGCCGGCGCAGGTAAAGCGTTGATAATTTAGTCAGTCCCGCTGATGTTCAAGTGAAGGATGGCGACACAAGGAAATAATGAAACAAGGAGTTTGTTCAATGTTAAAAAATAGAAGAAAGAAGAAGAGAAGAGAACAGATAAAGGTGACAAAGGAAAGAAAGAGAGAAGGTTGTATACCGTTGACTCTACTTCAGCATCTTTGGTGTTCGTGAGTCACGAACAACTAAACGGGTGATGCGTGTGATGAGAGCGCAAAGGCTTATCGAACAAAGACTCAGAATCTCTGACAAGCCGAGAGAGCACGACAGCGAACGGATGGTAATAGTTCAGAGCGGAGTGGATGGGAGGACGAGTGGTAATTGAATGGATTGCACGAGAGGCAAGCAATCAAGAACACAAGTGGGACAAGTAATGCACGGCAAATCAAGCAAAGAATGACAAGCAGACACCCGTAAAACGAAACGTGAGATCTTTTAGGTCGAAACATGAGATCTGGGACGCAAGGTATAGTTATCTGTTGCATCCCCTGGTGAACTAGGAACCTATCGTTGAGCAGCATGGTTATGGTCTAGGAAACTGGCCTCGTACAATGGAGTCGAGACGGAGACGGGAAGGAAAAGACGCAACGCAACATTCAACATGCAAGGCACGATCATGGCAAGGGGCAGGGGACAAGGACATGGGAGGACAAGGCGCGGCTAATGGCATGTCGAGGATATGTGTAGCTTGGCATAGTCTGAGCTAGTTCATCCCATCGTATCGAGCTATATCGCGGATAAAAGATCGCGGCAGCTCATACATGCCATGAAAAGCAACGCTGGCGCGGTTAAGTTCCAATAGTGGAAATAGAAACGAAAGCTTGGGGAGGCTATGTTTTGTCGCAGTATCGTCTGGGGAAGCGCTCAAGGGGGTACAAGAGCAGCTCCGAAACAAGTCGATAGGACAATTCTTAGAACATGAATCTGTTTGTACAAGGATCTGATACTTCAGACTCTTGGCCAAGATAAAATGTTTCCCACAATAGAGTATTTCTTCCATGTTTCGGAACTAGGATCTTGATAGCCGCCTGACTGGTCAAAGAGCATCAAGCGAATATTTCCGCCAAAGCGTCTCAAAGAAGACTCACAGCTCTTCAGCGGTTGGCTGACCAGAGCAACGGGACGGGTCTAGACATGGATATTGATGGGAAAATAGATTCTAGCAGGGGTTTAATCCAGGTCTAGAACTATTGAACAATGCCTGTAACGGATTAATATGAGCCACTGCCAGAACAAAAAATAGTATGAAACAGGCCGATATAAAACCAGATAATTGGATGTCGTTGCTCGGTTGGCGCCCACAAGATTCGGGCGTCTAAAGAAATTGGCTGGCGACCGTTGCAAGCGCGCTTTAGTGGGGTCAGAGGTCAATTGGCTGTGGCTTAATGATCGATTACAGGGATCAGACAGGGGCATCTGGTTCGCTGTGGTTGAGCCTTGTCTTTTGTGGTGAGAAGAATAAGAAAGAAGCCTGATTCTATGTCTTAGAACAATAGAATTGTTGGTCGCCTGAGGCCTACCGTCGTGGCCTTGTGGCCTTGTCATGGCCTCATCCAATTATAGTTGTATATCTGCGCTTAATCAGAGAGGAAGGCGTCAGTGAGTGGCTTCCTTCCCTACCTACTGTCAGGGCGGCTTCCTTCCCAGTCTTGACTTGTATCTTTAGACGCGCCTTCCATTTATCACGATCTATCTATTTGAAACCGTGATACCCTCTTTTCTCTTACTTCTCTCATTTTTCTTCATCTCTTCTCTTAAACTTGTCGGTCAAGAATTGTCGTCGTCATCGTCCCACAAGGTCAACTCAACGGTCGCATCCTCGTAAATTTTATCGCTGCATTGACGAGCATGTTTGATCAAGCGCCCAAGAACAACTCCACCGGAATAAAATATCTTGGAAGAATCTCATAAGATCATGAACTTGTGATCTGATTATCTCTCATCAAATGACTCTTTTTTTCATATTATGGAGTGTTTTCCCTTGCCTTTGTTAGTTGTTCTTTGACTCACTCACTCTTGGTCACACTCTTCTTGTGTTGTCCTTGGTTGTACAGAACCACACGTGTGGCAGCAAACTAAAAGGAAATCAATCTTGACCGCTTCATTTAATTCTGGATTGTATCACTAACCGATATTCATTCTTTTGGACTCATAATATCTGACGGTGGTTGAAGTTGTCCCTAAATAGGGCGTTTTCAATACATCTTCAGTATCCATAGCATTCTTCACCACTATACAGACTAATATCTTCAACTCCTGCAATCAATATCGAATTATTATACTCAACCCTCGCAAACCTCCTTCATATTCGAAAACTCCATAAATATATCTTATGAATATTCAATACCTTTGCACCCCCTCAAACTTACTAATACTCTATCCCTCAATACACCCCTCCCTTGAGTTGTTCTTCTCTTGACACGCCCTCTTGTTTCCTTCAAACTTTCGTCTCATCTCAACACTGAAAATGTTACGTCAAAGCCCCCTGCTTATCAATTCCAGTTGACGAAATGCTTCGTCTTTAACGGTCATCATCATCATCATTACTTTATTTGATCCTCTCAGTTGATATCTCACGTGCCTACGGGTGTGGCTGTTTCGTTTCGTCTTCTTCAATGGCTTCTCTCAATGTCTCACTTCCCCAATTTCTTCCCCTTCCATGTCTCTCATCATTACTCCTTTCAGCTACTCCAAGTTTAGCTTCCGCAATATATTGCTTTTTCTTCTCGAATCTGCACCGACTATCTGAGTTGGGGTTATAATTATGTTCCCTGTGATTCAAGGGAATAATCCATCGTAAAAGCCGTTACAATAACTCACACCCTTCAGTCTCCAACTCAATCGAAGTGGATCGTGATGTAGATGCACTAAATCCCATCTCGACCTCTAAACCTTCTGACTGTCGATCCTCCTGGTGCCTGTTTACGATGGGAATGTCATCACTGTTCCTTACCTTAGTGCCCGTCTGTGATGTAGTGATCGACCAACCTGTCAAAGTCAAACTCAAAAACTTCTTTAGCCTATTAATGATATGATTGATATCACATCTGAGACGTCATGATGGGAACTTCATTGAAACGAGTAATCACTTCCAAATGCGGATGTATCAAGTGAACGCCATACATCATGGTCAAGGCGAAAGATGGGACTCAAGGATAGGCTAATTATTCTCTTTTGTAAATCTTCGATAAACTATTAAACAATATGCATGTCGTATCTGATACGAGGTTGGTATTACTGCCATGATCAAAAACAATTCCCATAGTTGCTCCAAAACGCCTTCCAAATTCCCGTACATGATTATTGTGACATTAACTGCGTAAATGCATCATTCCATCTCATAAATGGTCTCGCTCTTTTCGTGTTCCTTCTCACCATCCTCCTGCTGCTGCCATTGTGACTGGGATGTGGCTGTCAATGGCATCTCCTCTTCTTCGCTTGATCGGCCTGGGGCTGCCGTCGCGGTCAGCTCCCGCCATGTGTGCCCATTGTGATTGTGTCCAGATCGCTGTTTGATCGTTGCTTGACTCAACCTTGTGGTGAGATCCCCAGTCTGATCCGCTGCCGGTGCCTGTGGACCACCCGTCCAACGCCGGCATGTCCCAGCCTTGAAGGCCAGTGTCGCACTCTGAGTTATCGTAGACAAGAGAGCTTGAGAGATCAAGTCCAGATGTAGTTGATGGGCTTTGGAAGGGGTTCACAGTGGACATGACAGGCTTGAGATCTGCCAGTGTCGTTTGCGCATCGTAGTAAGCCGCCTGGCTGTGTCCGTGTCCGTGCCCAGTGACAGTATGGCTCTCGCCCGCTGTGCTGCAGGTCGAAGGCATGAAGCCAACACCTGTGCTTGGAGGCATTCCGTGGTCAAAGCTGCCCGGGTACGACCCTTGTAGACCTGCGGTTGGTGGAGGTGTAGCGAGACCACCAGAAAAGGACTCGAATAGTGTAAGTCCATTGTTCGTTGCAGGCACAGTTGGCACTTGGGCCAGGCTCACGGTGGGATCCCATGAAGAGCTAAAGGTCTCGTTCATTGCCGCTGTCATGTGTTGGTTGATTGAAGGTGTTGGCGACATGATAGAATCTCGCGACATGGAAGCTGAAGGGTAGACGAGGGCCTTTTGCTGGTGGTAGCGGGACATGGGGTCGTTGACGGTCAACCATCTCCAAGAGGTACCAGCAGGCTTGAAAACGGGGTTGTACTTGTACCATTGGTTGGTTGTGTTGAATCGCCAAAACACAATACCCTGTCGAACCCATCGGTTCGAGTCGGGCGCACATGACCAAAGCTCCTGGTACATGGCCACCTTGCAGATGAGATCGCTGCCGGTGAGATCGCGACGAGCCCAAGAAGCCGCATCACCATCGTCCTCAGAGCGCTTGCGCTTGCTACCAGCACGGTCGAGATCATGCTTCTTGTTATCGCTCTTGGTGCGCTTCTCC